AGGAAACAAATGCCGAGGTACCGATCGAACGGAGCGAAGCAAGGACCAAGCGGAGCTTTGCAACTTTTGAACCCTCAAAAAGTGCAAAAGGGGTGCTCAATTTCTTACAGGGTCGCTTCCATCCAATTTTTGGAACCTCCAACAGTGGCAAATTCCAATGGAGACCATCAGTAAATTGCAACATTTGAAGGGGAAACCCAGTGACCCGCCCGTCTTAGTCCCGCTTAGGGAAACCTCGTTTTGTTTTGGGACTTTACAAAAGATTCAACCCTTGGAGCTTCAAACCCAATGCTGTTGAACCCCCGGAGCTTGTGTGTGACCCAGTGGATCCAAGCAAGTCAGTTCAGTGGGTAACCAGCATCTTTGACCTCTAGGTTTGATGTTGCTGTGCCTATAGCTACCTCGCTACCTATTTTGGGGTAGCTGGATCCACTGGATGAATGAGGGGCCATTCCAAAAGCTCGGAACCCTCTCTTTTTAAATATGCTTCTCAAAAGGGATATGGGTCGCTGTCAAAATTGCCTCCCCCCCCTCGCCTCCCCCCACCCCCCTGAAAAAAAGAAGAAAAAACAGAAAGGAACAACAAGTCGGTTGTCATTTGACGTCCCTGTAATTTCAAGTTGAAAAGAGTACCGAGCCTGGCGCAAAGGTAAACCCTCGAGGTCCGAGGTGGGAGCCACTCTCCGTCATACTGGTCCTTGTTGGAATAGGTCAGCGTACCTGCAGAATCGGAATCCGATTCGATTCGGGCCGTGCTTTACACGAAGCAAACGCAGACCCATGGGCCAAGCGGAGACCCACGGAAAACAACCTCCGCTTCGCGGGGTAACAGTATTTGGTCAAACCAAGTTTGCCGAACAGAACTGGGAAAGCATGGGGTTAAAACTCCATTCAATTTATGTCGCTTGTAACAAAAAGAAAAACGATATATATATATATATATTGGAAGGCTCCCCCTGTGGATTCGTCCAGCCGAAGCATCCAAGACTCGTGCCTTTCACACGCCACGTCGCCAAACTCTTGGAGCTCCAAGGGGTGAGCTCTGTGACGACAACTGAGTCATGGATGGAGAAAGCACTTCAATAAATCTCCCACTGGATGGATGGATGGATCTTCAATCGTCTTCATGTATTTGCTTTGAAGGAGCTTACAGTACCCTTCGGCAAATGGGGACCCCAACACAAAAGGACAGATGGATGCACCAGAAGACAAACAAGCAGAGACAGATTAAGAGGAGGGCAGGCAGGCGGGCGGGCAGGCACACACAGACAAACAAAACAAAACAAAACAAAACACACCCAAAAAAAGCAGGCAAAGAAACAACACGTACAAACAAACAAACAAACAAACACACACGCACATGAACACAAACACAAACACAAACACCAACACAACGACAAGCAAACGCACAACGACACGCAAACACTCGCCAAAACACACACACACTAACACTCACGCACACACACACACACAAACCCTCACACACACACACCCACACCTACGCCTACAGCACACACACGCACACACACCGCACACCTACACACACATACACACCTACAACACCTATAACACCGCATAACAGCACAACATAACACGACGCGGCGCGGTACAACACAACAAAGACACAACACAAAACAGCCTTCAGGGCATTGTTGTGCAGAAACACCACAAAACACAACGCAACACGACAAATAGAAATGCGCACAAAAACACACAAACACACACACACACAGACACACACACACACACACACACACACACACACGCATTTGGTGACTGAACTAAATTGCTTTGTCTCGAAACGGCCATTCTTCGCGAAAACAAACATTACTTCCGCGATAATGTTTGCTTCCGCGAATCTGTCGCCGTGCGTTATTTATTGTTCGAACCAGACAGTTGCATCTGTTTTAACACAAACAGCTACACAAAACGATCGAAAACAAAACAATACTTGTGCAACCCCATCGCGAATCTTTCCCGGAGGTATCTCGACCAACACCGATTGTCGCCGAATGCTAAACTCCCCTTACAAGGACCTTTAGCGCGACTCTCATATAGACACACAAGCAAACCAACAACGCAAACAACGCAAACAAACAAACAAACAAACAAACAAACAAACAAACAACAACAAACAAACAAACAAACAAACAAACAAACAAACAGACAGACAGACAGACAGACAAACAAACAAACAAACAAACAAACAACAAAAAAACAAAACATAACAACACAAACAAACAAACAAACAAACCAACAAACAAACAAAACAATCAAACCATCAAACCAACAAACAAACACACAAACAAAGCAAAACAAAACAAACCAACAATCAAACCAACAACCAAACAAAAAACAACACAACACAACAAAACAAAACAGAACAAACAAACAAACAAACAAACAATCAAACAATCAAACAATCAAACAATCAAACAATCAAACAAAACAAACAAACAAAACAAACAGTCAATCAATCAATCAATCAATCAATCAATCAATCAATCAATCAATCAATCAATCAATCAATCAATCAATCAATCAATCAAATCATACAAACAAACCACAACAAAAAAGACACACCACACGCAATCAATAAACAATAAATAAAACAATCAAACAAAACAAACAATCAGTCAAACAAACAAACAAAACAAATTCACAATCAAACAAACAATCAAACAAAACAAACAATCAATCAAACAAACAAAGAAAACAAACACACAAACAAACAAACATACAAACAAAACACAACACAACACAAAAAAACAAAACAAACAAACAAACAAACTATCAAACACACACACAAAACAAACAAACAAACAAACACACAAACAACCAAACAAACAAACAAACAAACAATCAAACAAAACAAAAAACAAACAAACAAACACACAAACAATCAAACAAGGAAACAATCAAACAAGCAATCAAACAAACGAACAAACAAAAGAAGCAAACACACAAAGCAAACAAACAATCAAACCAACAAACAAACAAAACAAACAATCAATCAAACAAAACAAAACAAACCATCAAACAAACAAACACAACAAGCAAACACACAAAGAAAACAAACAATCAAACCAACAAACAAACAAACAAGCAAACAATCATTCAAACAAACAAACAAACAAAACAAACAAACAATCAATCAAACAAACAAACAAACAAACAATCAAACAAGCAAACAAACAAACAAGCAATCAAACAAACAAACAAAAGAAGCAAACACACAAAGCAAACAAACAATCAAACCAACAAACAAACAAAACAAACAATCAATCAAACAAAACAAAACAAAACAAACAAACAATCAAACAAACAAACAAAACATGCACACAGACAAAGAAAACAAACAATCAAACCAACAAACAAACAAACAAGCAAACAATCATTCAAACAAACAAACAAACAAAACAAACAAACAATCAATCAAACAAACAAACAAACAAACAAGCACACATACGCACTATTCTGCGGCAAATCGCTGAAGCTCCAAAGGTGCAGGTTTGTTCGGATTTACCCTTGGCGCACCATGTCCGTGGATGCGGCCGTTCTCCCAGGTCCCTTCATATCGATTCCCTGAGGCGAACACGGCCACCCCTTGGCCATGTATCCTGTCCTCGCGGAGGCATCGTGTCAAAGACCCGTGGGATGAAACGGGGCCAACCTCCAAGGGGCCAAGGGCTATTCATTTTACTCATGGGGCGATCTGAAAGCAATGGGAAGCCATTGGTTTGCCCACGTGAGTTTGAAAGGAGAACCCTGTTTCAAAGGCCATGCTGTTCAAAGCTCCGTTGGCTTTGCGGGTGAGGGCTCGCTGGTTTTTGCGGGTGAGCTGAGGAAGGCAAAGTAGACTGGAAGAACCTACTCGTGGGATCTTGAACGAGAAACCAAAGAAAACCAGCAAAGACGGTGGTTCTCTTGAAACACTCCTTACAAGAGTGCTGACCATTTTTTCTGGATTCAATCCCGTGTTGCTCCCTTGTCAAGGGATCCGTCATTCTCAGAAAGCCGCGCGCAACCAGCTGGAAGTAACCTTGCCCTGCATCTTAGCAAGGAAAGCTGATAGGTTCACTCATCATTCCGATGCACCAATCTAACCTGGGCTCAGGAATCCCTAGGCCCCTCATGAGGCTCAAGGTCGTTTTCTCCCCCGGGGAGCGAGCGATACAAGTGCACTATATATGTATAATACGTGGCTTCTGACATGTGGTCGTCCAAGTTTCCTACATGTCGCTTTACAACCAGAAGGGAAACTCAATCAACATTGGCCAAAAAGACTCGTCGTGTGGTTGGCAAATTGCTGTTGCCAAACCGAACATCAGGAATATTCCTACAGGACCTTCGCGGGCTCGTTTTACCCCCGAGCTCCTTCTCAGTTTCCCTCTAATTGGTGGTTTGGATTGGTGATTTGGTGGTCTACCCTCTACAAGAACCAGGGGTTCAAATCCCCAAACCACCAATTGAGGGGAACCTGACCTTCTTTGGTTTGATCAAGGTTTGGACCAACAAACCCATGCCATGGACCCACCGCCGTCCTCTTGCCACTGGCCCTCGAAAATGGCTCCATCTGCATAGGTGAACCTGTCGGGTTCGACGCGAGGTTGGGACTCCGGGCCCCACAAGACCCTTTTCCGGGTGTTCGAAAACTGGGACAATAGTAAGTGCCGGTTTGTTGAGTAGTCGAAACATGTGCTTTTTGTCTTGTTCACGTCAAAACCCCGCAAAAGTACCAAGTTGGACTAGGTTGGGTCCTTCAGAAAGAAGGTCCGAACTATTTGAATATTCGTCCTGCCCTTTGCTTTTCCATTCAAAGGGGTCGCAGGGTCTGAAAACCAGGCCTGGTTCGCGGGGAAGGGGGGCGTCTCTAGGTATACTCAGGAAAAACCAGCCTAGCTCGCTTTTGTTCCAAAAAACTTTCACGAAGTCACATGTAACTACCGCAGACTAACGGATCCCCAACCAAACAATGTTTGATCGTGCGTATTTTGCGAAGATTTTAAGACAAAACGCGTGACTCCGTGACCAATAAACCTTGGCATATAAATGTACTTCAATTAAAAAACGGTCCACTTTGTGAGAACACAGCTCCCCACCCCGCGCCTACCGTGGCCTTCTCGCTTGCCATAGACCCACCTTGGCGGGAGAATTCGACCGGCACCCCCCCTCCCATCGAGGGGATGTGCCGAGGAAGCGGGACTTGCCCGAGAAGGGATCTTGTTTCTCGGAGAGATCCAAGGTCACATTCCCATGATTGTTCCTGGGTTTGGTTTCCTTGACAAAAGGAGACCTGCCCCGAAAAAGGGGGACTTGTCTGAAAAGAGATGAACAAACATGAGATAATACTGACTCCGAAATGCATCTCAAGGGCATGGATCTTGTGGGCTTCGAAGACTTCGAAGAAGTGTTATTTGCGGACCAGGACCACGTGGGAAACGGACCCTGAGACTTCTTTGGTAGTGTTCCTCTTATAGGAAAGCCACTTCCCCCCTTTTGTTGCCTGTGGGAGCACAGTGATTGAGACTTTCATTTCTTTACCGTGACCCGGAAGGGTTCGCTTCGAAACTGACAAACTAAAATGGGAGCTTCCTCTTTTAAGCTGTCAAGATTGGGTGGGATGCTGATTCGCCCTTTAAGCATAGATCAACTCACTGCGAATTGGCCCAGGCGATGCGTGCCAGTAGGTTTTTTTTGGGGGGTCCTGGATTCACCTATCAAAAAAGCGAGTTTTTGCCAGGCGCCCTCTTGACAAACTTGAACTTTGAAACACATGTCCCCTGCGAACGGGATTTCCCATGTCCATCCGGGACTTCGTATGAGAAAAGTCCCCTTTTTGGGGGGGCCGGGGCCCTTCCCGTACGCAACTTTGCGTGTAAGTGCTCTCGAAAAACCGAGGAGCTCACAGCTTGACCTTTTGACCCGAAGTTCTGGGTGGCAGAATGGCAGCCCTGAAGGGAATCCAAGGTAGCCGTCCGGACATGTCCGGACTACCTCATCCTTGGGCAGCAAGACTTTCTGCCGGATCCGCTCTCGCTCCGGCGCCTCCCTGCGGCTTCCAGGGGCGGGCTCCCTGGCGGGAATGCGGACCGCGTCCTTTCGACACCTAAGGCCCCGGCTCCCCCTCGTAGCGCTCGTTGCCCGCATAAATCAACGTTCCCTTCCCATGGAAGAGACCGTCCTGCAAGGCACGCGGCACGCGTGTGGCATGGCAACTGCCGTGCGAAAAACAGGGAGAAATCAGCTTTCCCCTATTTGGTGGTTTGGATTGGTGGCTTGAGAAACCACGTCCTAAAGTCCAAACCGCCAAACCAAAGCACCAATTAGGGGGGAGCTGAGCAAAGGCAAAACATCCCCCCCCCCGCCGCCGCAAGATTTGGTCCATTCAGCTCAGTGCCCATCTTGGGCTTGAGTGACCCACAGTGGATCAATCCCGGCTGGGTCGATCTTGGCTTGTAAGAGTCGTACCAACCGACTGAAAACTCTCTACACAAATGTGTGATATCTGGAAAATAATCACCCCCCCCCCCCAAACACACAGTTCTATGATATGAGCCATTGAACAAACAAAGTCTTAAAAGACAGTCCACAAGCAGGTGTTGACCCCGGATGCGCCAACCTGTCGGATCCATGGCGCAACGAGCGCTACAAGGTGCCAACCATATGCCCATCTTCAGAAAATCCCAAAATGACATGGGCCCAACCCGGTACAAAAATGGTCCAAGCCCAGAACCATGCTTCAAGATTAGTTGAAGGCGGATGTCCGCAGCCATTTCTGGTTGGTAACCTTCATCCGGGTTTTGATTGTGGCCCAGCTGACGTTTAAGCCGCCCACTTTTTTGGGACACAGAACCCCGAACCCCGGATTTATCAAGCCGGTCAAGTATCACAAAACAAAACAACCAAGACTGAGAAATAGATAGGGTTCCTAGAAATGCGTATGCATCCAAATAGGGGGACCCCAAAGAAGTGGCGTCCAGTTTGTTTTCCTCTGAACCTAGCTGACATTCCTCAAACTTGGGGAAGCAACAGCTGCAACTCGGTCCTTGATTTGCCCATTGTAGGCGTTGCCGGCTTCGCTCATGATCTCACAAAAACCGCGAGATACCGCGAGCAACAACCACGGCGACGAGACATCTTGATGTCCTTAAAAACCCTGTGCGCAACATCTAAGCGAGGCCCATACTTGGATCGTTGTTGAAGAAAGAGCCAAAGGGAATCAAACGTCTGGAGGAGTCCTGCAACAGGCGCTGGCAAAAAGCTCACTTGCAAGGACAAATACATCAAACATCACCTTTGGGGGTCTTGAAACCACAAAACGCCCTAGACGGGCGAACGGCGAACACATCCGGCCCCTTAGGCCCCTGGGTCTCTAGGGCCTTTCCCTTGCAAACCTTTTGGTTGAAGTCCTAACGGTCAAGCGGCCTTTGGAAGTTGTTGATCGGAGGTTCGAAACTGAGAGGTGTTTGGAGAATCCAACGCTCTAAACATGTTCAACTTATCTCGGCGGCTTTTCCGGGCATTGAAATCCTGACGTAAAAAATGTCTACGGAGAAAACAGTAGCTGCGGTTCCAAGAAACATGTCGCGCCCAATCTGACTTCTGTTAGGCCTCTAACTTTTGACCTTCCCAGCCCTCTGGTATCTCAGCAATCAACTTCTTCGCTGCATCTCTCACTCAAATCAGACAGAAACACCCATGATCAATAAGGGCAAACTATTAATAAAAAAAAAAAAAAAAAAAAAACAAGCAGCACTGTGAAGAAAACATCAGGGACCCCATGTCTCGGATCGCAGGTGCAAAGGGAGCACACATGGTCTCCTGGGGTCCACGCCCTGCAGGGAGGACCGCGGAAAAGGCAGGCCCCTTCTCCCCGTTTCCTCTGAGCCAAATGACGCGAAAACATTCGGTTTCCTCACTTGCCCAAAGGACCCAGAAATAAAAGGTTAACCTTTTGGCACCTCCACTAAAAATGGACCACCGGAAAACAAAAGGTCAAAAGGCCGGCTTTGGGCCACTGAGTTTCTGCTGCCAAAGCGAGGAATCTTCGTTTGGCCCGACCGGATCAAATGCCCAAGGCGTTGAACACCTCTCCCGAAACTCTCCCCGTCTCCCCAAACATCGAGGCTCGCTGATGCGCGAAGAGCCAGGCAGGTTGTCAGCTGAGGGTGCACCTCGCATGATATATATATATATATATATATACTCGGTTGCTTTCTGCTCCCCTGCTAAAAGTTTAACTTTTAGTGGTTTAGTGGAAAACCCATTAGTTGGCAAAAAGTTAAAGTTCTAACAGCCAAGCAAAATGCACCAAAGTATATGTTAGATGAATTTATATCTACTATGCATAGCTGGTATAGCCAACAAGTTAATGTGGTATTGGTTGCAAGTGAACCGCCCGTGCAAGAAACTACAGGGACACCTGGGTACGACATTCGCTTGAGTAATCATTCGCCATACCAAGTGCCCTCGATTCCCTACAGGAGCATAACATAACATATGATATACTATACAATAGCATAACATAACACAATATAACATAATATAGCACAATACATCACATAATGCCATGACGTGTGATATTGATATATGACATTGTATGTCATGTTCCAATTCAATCTACTATAATCCAATATATAATGCATAAACTAAAAAGAAACGCAGAATAAGCAACTACATAAAATATGTTTGAAATCCTTCTTTCCTGCCTTCATTCAGGAGTCATATGTCCAACTCAATCATGGCGTCATTTAGGTCGGACCACCTAAATCACTAGTTATGACGAGATGCGATGGTCGATCCATAGGAGAAATGGATTGGGACCCTACGTGTCTGCCCTTTTTCCGGGCCGGGCGTTGCGGAGCCCCGGAGGACGGAGAGCCCTTTGGCCGTTTGCTGCTCCCTCACGCTGGGATAGCTCACGTCGGTTCTCGCTGGCCTTCCCGCGATCTGGGGGGCCAGAAATGGGCCAAGAAGGACTTCAAACCGGTGTCCCTCCGAAAGGAGGAATCCGCCAGTCACTCTTGGCCCGACCTCATCTTCTCCGCTCTCAGTTGCTGAAGCTCAGCAGAAACCGCTTTTGCCTCCAGGAGAGATTCTCGGAGCGAGTGAAAAAGGTAGTAAAGGAGCCGACCAGAAGCAATGAAGAATCACAAGGGAGGCGTTTGCCACGTTGTGTCTGATCCCCGAACCGTCACTTGCATGGGGTTGATTGTGGCGCACTGGTTTATGATTGGGACTTGTCCCCTAGCCTTTCATTTCTTTAAACCGACTTTGATGGCTCAACAAGCCTCACAAACTTCTCCCAATTTTGGAATCCCAATTTCTCAAAGCCCACAAAGGGAAAGTCCCACCAAGCTCCGCAAGCCCACAAATGGGTATGGGTCAAAATAAAACCACCAGGGGGCCGCAGGTTTTAGTCTTTGCCTCCATTTACCAGGGTTCCATTTTGGGTACGCGTGTTTGACCCACAGCCAAATCATGAATGACAGAAACAATAGTAGGTGGGTTTGTTAGGTGGGTTTGTCTTTAAACAGCCTCCCAACACCAGCACCCTCCAAAAGACACACGCGCATGGGGGTTGGTCAAACTGGCCTGCAAAACGTGAAATCAAGAAGAAAAAAACAAATCTGCCCGCTACTTTGATGGGCAAACGCTCATTTCCAAAAGGTTAAAAGACAATCGTTGGATGTTGACGCGCCTTTTAGAGCACTGAGCGAAGGTCACTCGGCTGCTTCCAGGTCAAGTTTCTAGAGCTATATTTGAAACGGTTTGATAAAAAATGGAAACCCCTTATTCGAATGTTTGAAAGGCCTAAAGGGAAGCAACAGCCCAACGAGTTCTGTGGCTACCTGAACTCTTTTGCGGCTGCCTTGCAGTACCTGTAAACTTCGATTGCTAGGGACAAGTTGCTTGTTAGGAAAGAGTCTTCGGCACAGGCCAGTAATTGTCCTTTGGAGGGAAAATGACAGGATTCATGTTCTGTGAATTCAAGGGTACAAGTTGGTGCCAGCTCATGTCGCGGCTTGTCTACGAATCATCTAGCGACATGAATGTCACTCAGGCGGAACACTGTGCATGTTGCCATCTTTCATTTCCTCGGAAGGTTTCTCCTGTACCTTGTCTGGAATCGCACTACGAAACTGCAAGTTCCCTGCGCTTGTCAAACGTCATCATGGCCAAGTATGTGCCCAGGGAAACACCAATCAGTTCTCCTCGAGGCTTTTCGCCTTTCTCCTTTGGGTTTCATACATGGCTTCCGTGCCAGAGTGGCTTCCCTGCGCTCGCCAGTTGCCTCAAAACCTTCCTAACAAAGCCTAAAAAGCAATCAACGTCTTCGGGATCCTGAGGTACCGGTGCTATCCCCCGGCAAATACGGCTACCCTCCCCAAGCGGAAATCACCAGGAGGGCCTTGAGGAGGGCCTCTTTAAGAGGAAGACTGTCCTTTTTGAGGACCTCTCCTTTGGGCTGTGGTATTTTGGAGGGACACCTCGGACCCTGACATTTGGCGCAATATCCGAAAGCCGAACGACGAAGAGGTCACCTGTTCACTTCTGGTGGTGGGTTGCATATGTTTCCACTTGAACACACTATATACACTACACCAACAAACACACAAATCTGATTGGCCTGTTTCCGGCCTTTCCGTAAAGGTGATGTTTAAAACCACCTTCAGGGAGAATCCAAGATCCCAGAAAACCCATGTAGCCCACAAATGGCCGAGGAATTTTGCACGGCTTTGACAAAAGTGATGGTTCAAGCAGTTCAAGCTGCCTCTTCTTGGCGGGAAGTCAGGGAACCCTTTGGATGAAAAACGCCGCAGCTGGTTCTACAATGATTTCCACTACCCCAAACCTCTACCCCCGTTGGAAATAGGGGTTTCAAACACCAACAAGCTGCTATATAGATGTACATACCAGCAGCTGTATGTTTGTGTTTCTTTTTTTGTTGCGGGGTTGTGGATGGGGGGAAGGTTATTGAAGCCCGCTTCAGTTCTCAAAACAACCCTCCTAGTCTGGGTTTACCAACCGATAGCCGACATCACCGCCTGGCCAACCTTCGACTCAGATCCGGGGCCTGAAGTCATCCACCAGCAACGCAAGGGCTCGCGGGATGGAGTCTGGCGGTGGCTTCCAGCCGGAGGCTGTCCTAGATCCTCCAATAGAGAGGTTAGAATAAGGGTACCAACTGTTTACCGTAATTAGTCTATTTTTGTGGGGGAACCCTTCCCCAAAAAAGGGGAGAGAAGGGCACTACTGGGGGACCTAGTGCCCAATTCTGGCCCCATGACTTTACCAAAGTCACAGAAGTGGTGGACGAAATGGAAACGACTGAACCAACTTCCCCCATGTTCTGACTTTGGTAACACCCAGTCAACACGGTTCTCCCAGTCCCATTCTGGAGAACATCCTTACCTTTTTTCGGGGTCGACATGACCAAAAGCAGGAGGCTAAATGCCTCATAGTGGACCTATGGCTTCCGCAAAGGGAAGTAGTAGTATTCCAAAACCACTCCGATCAGCTTCCCATGAAAGTTGGAGGGAGGGCAAGGTAAATCTTGCAAGTAGGGAACTTGCAGGGACCCCTCAATTTTCCCCGTACCACGATTTACCGGGGTCTTGTGGTTCGACGTGCTTCACTTGCAATTATTTAGCGCATCAACCATCGCCTCGCTGAAATCTTCTGTGGTTGAAGCCCGGGAAGGGCGACATTTTCCCTCGGAGGGGGAGGGGTGGTTGGGGGTTGCCTGCTGCTTCCTCTAAGCCGCCGTTGAGCCAAACCGTGCAGGCCTTCTGGCAAGTAGCCCAGCCACATCTTCAGCGCCTGCCAAGTGTTCTGTGTGATGGCAAACAACAACACATTGCAATGTCACAGAACCTGCGGGGTGAGGGGGTCGGAGTTTGGCTTTTTGGAAGAGCAACGACTTCTGTTTGGCACACTCTTCCCTTGGTGCTATCCCCTTCGAATGCCCAAAACGAGACCTCCAGAACTGCCCATCGAGGCAAAGGCTGCGGACATGGGGCACCTGTTCTTCCCAACTCACTTGTCGCATCACTGAAATCAGCACTTCCCAAGCCCTGACAGCAAAACACCTGCTCTTTGCATCCACCAAAAATCGACAAAGCTAGAGCACCAAACAAATTTGAACCATCGTATGCAAACAAAAACAGTGTTGACTGGGACTTGAGCAGCTACGGGCACCGTCAAACTCACCCCCGCCGCAAACGTAACCATTCCACCCCCAAGTCGCCACTGAAACACACTTGTAGAAAACACGCTACCCGAAACTGTGTTTGACGTTGACCCAAGCATTCGACCTGATCGGCTGCTCAAACTTGGTTGCCACTACCCGTCGTGTTTTTGTTTTCTCAGTGCAGGAAAAGCACATGTCCCAACATATCTAACGGGAGTCCTTCTCGGGAACTCCGTGCTTGTTTTACGGCGCGGCGAAACCAGAAGGAGACCAAGCAATTCGGGTTCCCATCTTCTGAGACAAGCACAATGAATCGGTCAAACCCTTGCTGGCTTTGGTAACGTCCCAAAGCGGTGCAACTGGGTGGCGTTCATTTTTGAAGCCAGCGGAACTCCGAGCCAAAAAAGGGCATGTCTGAATTTGGGGACAGCCTCTTGTTCATGGCTTGAAAGAGAGACCTCCGAGATCTAAAACCTCCGAGCTGCCATGAGAGATCTCTTCGCGGCTCTTCGCGGCCCTGAGGCTTATAGTGTCAGGTCCACAGAGAAACTGGCCCAGAAACTCGGCCGTTCCCCGATTCCCCGGCCAATACAAACCAAGCTGCTTCAACCAGGAAATCGAGTTGCTCGATGAAACGTCAGAGGGTTTGCCCAACGATGGCCAGAAGACCCGCTTCATCTCATCTCTTTGGGCCGCCCCAGCCCCCCGCCCCCGCAAGCAAAAAGAAGACAACGACAAACTCTTTGGATGGGTCGACCCATATTATGGGGGTGTCTTCTTTTCGGGTAATTATCTGGATTCCATGGTTTTCCGGTTGGCTTTCCCTTAGAGCCAAGCCCAAGTCCCCTTCAAAAACGCCGAGCCACGCAAATCTTCCTCGCCTCAGAGTCTCCCAAGACGTCGTCGTCGAGCTCTGAGAGCACTGCCCACAAGGTGCCGAAGTCCAGGTCCACTCCCAGAGCCTCTCAGTGGCTCAGATGCCCAGTAGACCCCAATTGGAGTGAGTGGAGCCCACATCCTGGCCGAAGCCAAAAATCAGGCCGTCCCACTAAGGGGAAGGGCTAAGCATGAATTACATCTATTTGGCAGGAGCATGTGGTCAGCATGCGCTAGCAAAAACAGGCAGCCACGTTCCCGCCTAAAAGGGCGGCGGGGGCCACAAGAAATGTTTATCGGATGTGTACTTGCGGTATCGGTAAAACCGCGTTTTAGCGGGCGTCAAGGATTCTTTTGCATGGATAGTGAGATCAATCAAGGGTTCCCTTGCCCAAAAAAAGGAGAAAAAGGGCACCACTGGGCAACAAAGGTGGGGTCTTGGAGTCGCTTTCTTTTTTTTTTTGGGGGGGGGGGGCGGGGTGGGGGTGAGGGTCGGAATGAACCGGAAGGCATTCCCTAAGCCTCCCTTGAATTTTTGTTCCCAGCCCTTCCAGAAAAAAGGAAGCCACCGAATTCGATGGCCGGAAGGTTCCGGGATTTCCTAGGAAATCCAGTTGCACCGGTTGGATGGAACAGTTCAGGGTCCGAGTCCAATGACTCAAACTCGGCGAGTGAGCTCGGCGAGACCGATCTTCCGCGCCTCATGGCATTTTTGCAGCGAGGCCCGCAGCGAGAAGGACGCCTGCCGTGGCAGGTCCGTCCTATGTCTTTTTTGTCTTATATAGGGTTTCTGCATGTGGTTTGTTGGGCTAAATTGACAAAACCGGCTATTGCGCGCCCAGTAATCGTTTACTCCTGCAGACTACATGTGCTTTTCGATACCCCGCGACCGTATTCTTGCTCTTTCCGTGTTTAAAGCAGCAGGGTTGGGCAAAGTGTGTTCTCGAGCTGAGGCCTGGCCCCAACCTTCCAAGAGTTGGTGAACATAACATGGCCGCCGCCAAACTCAGGTCCCAGATTCCCTCAGAACCAGCATGAGCCAAGGGGGAGGCTCTGCAATTCAGCCAGCGCGAAAGGCAAAGAACAATGGCCCCGTTGGGGGAGTGAAATCTGAAATGCCGTCTAGCTCAAAATGCTACGCTTCTCACGATGGATCTTCCAACGTACATACCCGAGGCAGTTTCCCAACACCATCACAAGGAGGGCGCATTCCCTTGGCCCATGTTTGGGAATCAAGTAGCGGTGTGAAACAATGAACACTTGCCCACCCGGCGTCATTTTGGGACAACTACACACACTGTTGGCTACTCGCTGTTGGGAAGGCCCCAAGGGCCCAGGGCACCCCATTCTTTCACCCCAAAGGTCCATTGGCACCGCAGGATCTGCGGCCAAACGGGGGTCAAAGTATGTCACAAGGTACCAAGGGACCCCTTCATGGTCATGCGAGGGGATTCACATGCCATTCCCTTCACACGCTGAAACTTGAGCGTTCCGTAAACTGTCTCACTCCTATCGTGGACACTGCGCACGAGTTGGCAACATCGAGGGCCGGAAAGACAAAAGGCCCAAACGCAAAAAAAGCCAACTTGAAGCCCGTAAACAGGATTTCAACGGTTTTCCTACTGGACGGGTCCAGGGTCATGGTTGCAACTGGACAATGCGCCAAACACCCTGCCCGGAGCGGTTATCAGCTGCAGCTCCAGATTCCCCAGCGTGCGGTCATGCACACGTGAAAGAGGGTATTTCTGGCACCACCTGCCGTTGTAAAACATCAAGCAGGACGGCTGAATTAGATCATCCTTGAAGTGCATGCACAGCATCCAAAGCCTATTCTGAGTCAAGTTCTATTTTTATGCCTTCCCCAACACTGTTTGAGGTCTCTCGCCGGCGTAATTTGCGACAGACAGATGAACTATATGGGTCCAAAAGTGTACACAACAACATTCCACTTGGTGGACCCTGGAATGGAGCGCACCAGAACGTCATGTTAGAGGAAGATGGTCTTTGAGAAACCCCAGTCGGGCTCCAAGTTGGGCGGAGGGGGTTAACACTCCCCCACAGCCATCCATTGTGAAGGAAATTCGGAGCGCCACCCTCCATTTCAGGGGTTCCCCTATTTGGAGACAACCCACAAAGTAGGCAGGCAGTGGGATGATTGGGTCCAATTCAAGTAACCTCCTCAAAGCACTTTAAGGCACTGTGTCGGAGTTTGCTTTGGCCCGGCTCCTCTAACAGAACGGGTGGTTGTTTGCTGATTCTCCTTCAAAACAATCCCAAAACGGATACCCTACCCCCCCAGGTCGCTTTCGCCTGCGCTTCCTCCAGGCCCTCCTCAGGCAAGTCCTAGCAGTTGCGCCGAAGGTCTGGTTTCCCAGGTGGGTCTGTTGGTTCCAAATCCGGATTGAGAACCCGTGCAGTCGCCAGGGTACTTGTGGCCCGGATTTTCCTGGCACAAAAAGGTGGACCTTCAAAGAATGCACCGGTTCCTGCTGGTCTACTTTTTGAGGGCACCGCTTTTGTCTGGTTGGGCCCCGGGTCCGATTCCTCAGAAAACGGGCCACCCATCTGGGAAATCATTCGCCCAGCTTTCCAGTCGGTTGGACTGCAGGGGGTTCCAATATGCGAATCAGACTTTGCCAGCCTGAAATCAGGGATCAAACGGGAAAGCTGGGGTCAAAGCAGTTGCAACGCTGAGGTTGATCGTTTTTGCCCAGATCCTACATTAGTTCTGGTGTTTGGATTTGGCTTGCGGGTGGTTCAAGTTGCTTGAAACGGAAACCAACAGCGAACCACCCATTCCGCGGATTTTACTCTTTGGAGGCAAACCCTTTCAATCAAGACACGCATGACCCGTAATATGATATATGTCGTCCCCGGAACTGTGGGGTTGCCCCCATATGTAACCTTTGGGAAAAACAGATGACTCTGGCAAAGAATGGGACACACAACCAATCTAACCTTTGGAACCCATCGATGTCTGGGTCAGCATTGTCTCCAAGCTAAACCAATGAAACCTATCGATTTCTAACCAACCTAACCGTTCATTTTTCTTTAGTTTGGCTTTATGCCCCATTTACCAGCACAATCCCTCTAGTTGTCCAATCTCAATCGGAGGATCTATGCCAGGTCCCAAATCTACGCTTGCCCCACGTCCAATCATCGACCCCGCCTCTTTCTGCAGCTCCGCCTTCGCCTCGAGCTCAAAAGCTTCGAGCCCCTCGTCGTAGGAGGCCTCGGGCTCCGGCTTCGAGATTTGGCAAACCGCTTTGGCGTCCGGTGAAAATAAAAACTGAAACCCCCCGTTCCCCCCAAAGCAACAGAAGGAACACAACAACAACACACAAGAACGAAACAAAACCAAGAAGCTCTGTTTCAAACCATGAATCAAGAACCACGGAAAAGTGAAATAAGCTTCAGGCGCAACTGCAAATAACATGGGCGTGTCTTGCTTGTGGGGGGCCAATCATATTGCCAACAACGGAAGCATTGAAGAATGTATTGAACACATTAAAAAGGGGATTGTCCTGATACCGCGGAAAGTGGCCCCACCATTCATACTTTTCACATGGAACGCATCTGACCTGAGAAGACTGACTATGATGACACAGCCGGCCAAGAAAAGCTTCACTTTGGCCAACTCAGCAGGTATCCTCCCCTCCGCCAACGTGAAACCTGACCGAGGTTCCCTGAGAACACATGTTCTTCTAAAGGGGGGATCCTTTGTAGTTGGTGGAAGGGTAGGCATATTTGCCAAGTGGATACCAGAGGTGAAGTCCACCTATTAATGCATTGCCAAATTACTATTGAAAGCAAAGCGAATCCCAATAAAGCTAACCTTTGGCCCCCACAATTCTCTAACTATCCACCCTATTCTCGGGCCAGGCCTTCCAACCCCCATTGCAAAAACCTGACCCGCCTCTTTGATTATTTTGGTTGAATTGCCAGCTTCCCGCTACGAAACTAAGGAACAAACACTGTTGCTGGCTGTTCATGACTATCTCCTTGAAACAAATCAGACGAGGGTACCCCTCACACATACGCACGAAATGAGCCATAGCCTAAAGATAAGACTGTGTTGCCCCTCATGTTTGAGCTCCTCTTGTTTCGAATGGTTGGTGCCATTGCTTCCGTTTACGAGCAAATATCAAACATGTGGGAGACCCATTTTCGTGCTGGTTTGTTATATGGGGTCTTTTCAAAAAGGAACATGCCAACACAATCGGCCAAGGGTACCCCCCCCCCCCAAAAAAAAAAGAAGAAGAAAGAGACACACACACACACTGTGCACTACATAAACCATACCCTAAATAAAGCTAATTAATAAAGCGTTCAACAGATTTCAACAGGAGTAATGACCCTTTTAAAATAGAAAACACCGTCCTTAAACAAAGCTAATGATCTGGAAATGGATCCCAATGCACAATAATTTAAAAGTAACATTGCCCCTTTTGATGTAGTATTGCCAAGCTTCCTGAAACCTGATCGATACAAGCACAATTCGCAAGCAGTACTGCTCCTTTTAAAGTAGGATTGTCACACAGAAACATGACTGGGTCACTTCATCCTGCCACAAAAGCAGCCCTATAGTAGTGTTTGCCAGACTTCCTGGAAGTCGACCGACCTCCATCTCCAAAAAAGAACACTTCGAATACTATGTTGGACAAACAGAAATTGTCACTTAGGTGAGTTGAGGGGGGGGGGACTCCCATTCTATCAATTCAAGGTGGACAGTTCCTACTTATCCAAGACGGTGATCACTTAGTTTCAGCCCCGGTGGCCAGGTGCTGCGGATCCACAAAAATCCTCGCCTGGATGGCCGCCCAAAGCTGCGCATCTTCTGCGGAGGTCTCCGGAAGGTCGGCTGGGTGAAGAATGGCCTGGGGCCGACTGACTTGGCTATGGGTCAAAACCCAAATCGTATCCCCAGTGAACACCCCAACCCCCACTAAAATAGGTTCTAACATGGGTGGTGAATTCACCTACCCCAAAATGGGATCCCATTGGTGTTCACCCACGGCCACTTGGCTGCTCCTGTTGAGTTGCTTCGCCGCCCACGGGTGCTGTTGAAGGAACCCAAGGCACCAGGGAGCGCTTGAAAGGAACCAACAGCACCTTTGAGGGCAGAATGTTTAAGAGGAAACCAAAAGGAGACTGCAGCCCAGGTTTGGAGGCTCCATATCCTGAGAGACAGTCTCATTTCTCACGTAGGTTGACAAGCCCTTTCCAGGGAGCTTTGTTCGTGTACCAACCGAAAGGCGAAGGGGCAACCCGACTTGCTGATGCTCGCAGTCGGATGCCTGGAGCGCCGCATCTTCGTCCGGCACCGCGTGGAAGAGCTCGTAAAGCCTGGAGGTGCCACCGGTCTGCAACCGAAAGGCCCCAAGGTCAAACAAAATGGTTCGTTCATTTCGGGCTGAGGACTTTGTAGAGGGTTTTGTAGGGTTTGTGGGAGTTTGTAGGGGCCTCTGTTTGCAACAGCGGGTTCATCAATCTTCGGTTAGTCACTTCTTCAAGTAACCCAAGGAAAGTTGGCAGGTGGGATCCAGAGCTGGTCGGATGCTCCTGGGCCGCTGTCCCCCGAAACTTCGGGACAGTCTTGAGGGTTGTACCGCCTTCCAGGGGGGGGGGGTGAGACATTTGTTCCAAGGGCGTCAAAAACCAAAACCTGGTTCAGACCACCAGGCTGCGGAAGATCAACTCTGGCCCTAGGTGTGGCTGTCTAACGTGCTGCAGCAGTTGTGAAGGTGTCGTCTACTCAAGGGGCCGGAGGAAGGTACGACCAAAAATCCGAGGCATATTCTCGCGAGTCGACATGATGCTCGAAACCAACGTGAGCAAACCAACAAGCCCAACTGGTACCGCTCTGAAGGGGAGTTTGGTTTCAGTTTTCCGGTTTTCAATTTGGCCAGCGTGCCCAATGTCGTTGCGACGGCTACAATAGATGATGCTCAGTGGTGTTGACCCCGGGTTGATGAACCTGGCAAATCCCCCCCCTTCAGTGAAACACCAACCTATCAATCAGCTGAGGGGTGGGTGGGCCCTGCATTCCCAACTGTTGCGTGTAGCCTCGCCTCTGACTCTCTTCCAAAGCTTTGCGCATGTCCTCCTCCTCTGAAAGCCGCAGATTGCCGCGCTCCTCTTCTTCCAGATCCTGGGAATGCTTCAGCGCCGCCTGAGCGAAACGCGCACAGAGGGTACAAGATGCCTGCCCTCGAAAGGGAACTAAGAAGTCAACCAATGGACCCTTGGAATTTGCTTTGTCAACAAATAGGGGAACAACGGAAATACAAAAAAAAGAAAAGAAATGACGAACATAAGGAACCGCAGAAAGGAGAGTCCCGGGCCAACAGCTGGCGCTGATTCCATCCCTGCACTTTGTACACGCCCAGTGAGTGATCCGCGAAACTTGGAACGAAGTGCTCAGCTTATGGACGATGGTTCTGTGAAGCTTCGTGAACCCGATCACTTGCTCAGTGGACCCATTTATCTGTATCCTGTATAGTAGGTAATACCACCCTTTAAAATACCAATAGGAAAATGGCTGGCTACTATAACGGGAACTGGGATCCACTAGATTTGAGGAAAGAGAAGTCGCAACAAGGGTTTCTGTGGGTGAACTGGTGAACTGGCAAAAGGATCATAAAGGATCACTAGCACTGACCAGCCAAAGCCACCGCAACTAAAACAAATGCTCGAGAGTGCTTCTCCTCTTGCAGTTTGCAGGCAGGAGCTCGCAGGTGACGCAAACAGCTTGCCAGCACTGTAACCTCTGCAGCAGAAGCTAACACGCCGGGACACAAGTTTCAGCGACGGATATATGTCTTGGCTGGGCCCAACAACCTGCGATAGTCGTTGTCAATTGCAGAACTCCCCAAAGCAACAGTAATCGCCCTGAGCTCGCATCACATTCTTGGGAAACGCTGAGAGCGTGCCTGATCGCTGTGGTGTGCTTGCGCAGCGCTATTGAGGGCTGTTTCAACGGGGACACCTCTCCCAAACCACCCAACGGATCTTGGAGGTTTCCCCTGAGATGCGGTTCTTGTGAAAATACATGCACCCTCCCAAACTCTTGGGTCTTTTGGCCTTCCCAAAACCAACCCTTTTGTTCCCATTTAGGGTGTGGCTCAAACATCCATGGCAAACTGCAGGTGCTCGTCTTGGTTCCATTACCTAAGGTGCCATTTTGGGTTACCATGTGTTGGAGCCACCGCCAATTGTCCACCAGTGGCTTTGGGGGTAGTCCAAAAAAGAAAGAACTAAACCCCGCGGTTTCAATTTGATCCAACTTCTTCCTATGTGGCCATGGGTCAAAACCCAAATCGCACCCCCAGTGAAAATCCCAATCCCCACTAAAATAGGTTCTAACATGGGTGGTGAATTCACCTTCCAACCAAAATGGGATCCCAAAACGGCTTTGACCCACAGCCATTTGGGTGAACAGAGCCTTTGGAAGTTGGATTCCGGAGCTTGGTCAAGTTTTTGGACCCGTTTTTTGGTATCCATTTTCCAAAGACTCAAGTTTTTTGGACCATTCTCTTGTATCCTTTGGATCCATTTTCCATTTGCAAAATGGGTGGTGGTGAATTCACCTACCAAGAAACGGGATCCCAAAACGGCTTTGATCCATTTTCCACCAGCCGATCCCAGCCATGGGACTTGGATCTCCTCCTCCTCGCGCAGCGCCTGCCGTTGCCGCTCCTCCGCCAGCTGCAAGGACTCCTCGGCCGGCCGCAGCACGAACCACCGGATTTGCCGGAGTTGGCGTCCTTTTTGGCAAAAATTCCATGAGGTGTCCCTGAAAAGTCGACGTGGTTTCCCTGGTAAACATTTGTGTGAATGGCATAAAGCCAATTTAAACCAGTGGAACCCATCTACTTCTGGAAGTTTTGGTCAAAAAATCGATGGTGTCTCCCTGGTAGACTTAAATGGATGGCATACAGCCAATCTAAGTGGAACCCATCTATTTCTAAGCACATTTACCCATGGGGGAAAAGAGTCGGCTTATTGTCCACCTAAGCAGTACAGTGGTAGTTTTCTTTTTTTCTGGGGTCAAGCTATTTGGGCCTGAGCCAAACGTCTGGACCCCGGTGTAGAAAGTCAAAGCCTTCTTGCTATTGAAGCCAAGCCCAAGGGTGGGGCAAAAGAGCTCAGGAAGGGAAGTCTGGCGATGCTATTTCGGGCTACCCTCCAAACCCTGGCCTCGATTTTTGGTCTGCTGATCATGAAACTGGCCATGCATCGCAATTTGGGGCTGCAAAGCCAAGGGACAACGGGGCCCCGTATTAGAATCCCTTTGTTGGTCTGGTTCGGAGCCATTCAAAAAAGGGGCCGCACCGCTTTTGTGACCCTTCGCAACTTGCATGACGCTGTTTAAAAGGCGTGCTTTAAATGCAGAAAGTACTTCAAACTCGGACAATCAAATGTTATAGACCATGTAACCATCGTCGCGGTGACTGTGAAAAGTCAACCTTCGGGCTTGCTGAAGCTGAAGGCAAACCCAAATGACACACGCCGAACGATCCAAACGATCCCTCTTTTTGGAACTTTGGGTGAGGCAAGCCGAACTCCCTTGAGTTGTCCCATCTAATCTAAAGAATCAGAGCAAAAAGAAGCTCACACCGAAGGCACGGACTAGCATCCCCATCCACCGGTTCTCAAACACAAATGGACTCAAATGGGTCTGCCTCAAGTGAATTTGGTTCTCCGTTCAAAGACGATAACCAACACTGGTTGCACCCTCAAACCCAAAGCGATAGTTGTTCAAAAAGCGAAGGTCCCGATTTCGGGACAATGTCCCGCGCCCTTTTTGTTCGCGGGGTCAAAGATCGGTCCCTTTGCTTCAACTGAAGCGTGGCTCTGGAGAAGGGCAACTCTAACCCAGTGGAATCCAGGCAAACCACTATAGTTGGTAACTAGACATTTTCCTTTTGGCAATTCAAGGGCGGTTCCCTTAGTTACCTACACACGGAGAAGCAATCACTGGCCAAGTTGCATCCCCGTTTTCTGGCCATACCCCTCGGCCCCCCCGGTTGCGCAGCGGAGCGCAACGAACGACCCAGCCTTCAGCACGCGCGACAGCTCCTCCTCACCGTCAGCCGACTTGGTTGGCTGAGCCTGGCGACAGCTCTGTTGGAACCCAGGTCACTTGTGGGGATGTCATCTTTTAAGGGTAATTACCCTTTTGGGGTGGTTTTTGAAGAGAAACCACAAAGACAACCACAGTTGGGTCCCCGAGTAAGAAGACACACCTTAGAGGAACACAGCCTTACCTCCAGCCAGATGTTACCAATCATCTATGGAGGGCTATTTTGACTGCGAAGCCCATCCACTGCCATGAATTCTGAAAAGAGGAATCATAACCAAGGAGTAATGATGGACGTTGCTCGTTCAACGCAGAGCCTGTAGAAGAAGCTCCCTTGAAACAAGCAGCCACCCTTTCAAACCACCGGCAAAATGGGATGTCAAAAGTTGGGACCACCCTTTTGCAGTGCAGTCTGAAAGGAACACTTATACGAAAACCGATTGCTATTTGAAGATCTTTGAAGTACGAGTGATGGGAGCGCAGCAGCCACACAATATATGTTCATAAGCTGTTGGTTGAGTTTCGGCGCGCTGACGGAACTAGCAGCAGTATTTTCTGATAGACTTCAAATGACGCATCCCGTTAACCGGTCCAATATCAACTTTAGGACTCCCCGAGTGTCACAAGACATTTGTGTACAGGAGGCGAAACGTGTTCCAAATGGCCGTGTAATTCCCCCCACACAGTTTGGTGCAGGGATGTGCAGGGTCTTTTGCAAGACAGGTTTCGTATTCTCGCGGAATTGTATGGCTCTCTCCAATATCCCACAAGGTTCACGAGGTTCACTAACGAGGCTGACGAAAGGTTACAAGAAATGTTCCTCAAATGCAGCGTTTTGGGGAGCTAAAATACATCATCAACCTCCGACAAGGATCCCCTGTGAAAGGAACGATCATCATGAGGTCGCAAAGCAACACCCTTGCTGATGTGCCCTCGATATTTGTTGGTTGGTTTCGTGTAGGACAGGGTTCCATTTCATTTGTGTCAAGCACCCTTCACGATCCCAGAACAAGTTGACACTTGCAACCCGAATGCGATGTTTTTGCATAACCATCCAAGAGCGGAATATGGGGAACCGTTCTTGTTCAGGGTTCTGCCATATGAAGCGGAAATTTCACGAACGCACCGCTACTGCGAGGTTGCCTCTTCGCCCTCCATTTGCCCCGAAGAAACTGGACTGGACCTTCGCCCGGCTTCGGTGATCAAAACCCGCGCAACTGAAATGGCCGTTGGTGCAGTCACTGGGGTCACTCTCGGTTTGTGACAGTGCCCATGGGAAACCCGGCCTGGGACGCCGCCAGCGTCATGCGCAGCATCTCTTCCTCCATCTCTTGCTGCTTTCGCCTGCGCTCCTCCTCTTGCCTGAAGGACTCCGCTGTCTTTGCGCTCCCACGCCAAGGGCACCCTCCCATCCGCATGAAGGGTTTTGGACGACTACTTTTTGGAGATCCCCCTGCCAACTTGAAATGATTGTTGGAAAGAAGGTCGGTCCTTTGTTGTTGGTATAAAGCGCGGAACAGTTTGTGAGGCAGGGGGTGTGCCCTGGAGGGAGTGTCTGAGGTCTTGTGGGGAGCTCCACCTGTCTACCGGGATCATCTTGTCAAACAATGGCCTTGGAAGTGAGAAACCACTTCAAACTAGCACTTCGAGCACAAAGTGTGATTTTTCCATTGACGAAGGCATGACTCATGGTCAACCACACATAGGCGTCCGGAGGTGTTGTACACCTGTGTGAAACACACATATATATATATATATAAATATGTAGAGAGAGACAAAGATAAACAAATACACATACACATCCTTAGCTATGGCTCAACCAGAGGTGCGTGCGTGCGTGCGTGCGTGCGTGCGTGCGTGCGTGTGTGGGTGTGGGTGTGGGTGTGGGTGTGGGTGTGGGTGTGGGTGTGGGTGTGGGTGTGGGTGTGGGTGTGGGTGTGTGTGTGTGTGCGTGTGTGTGTGTGTGTGTGTGTTGGTCCATGTATATATATATATATGCGTATGTATGTATGCATGCATGCATGCATGCATGCATGCATGTATGTATGTATGTATGTATGTATGTATGTATGTATGTATGTATGTATGTATGTATGTATGTACGTATATACATATCATATATGCATAGCCGATGTGCCATTTCTTGTTGTTGTATCTTGAACTCCAAAAGTGTTTGGACACGCAGAAACCCCATATCAATCTGGGTGTTTCTAAAAAATAGGGACACCTCCTTTAAAATCGTCCAGAAGGGGGGGTCCTGGATTCGAGACACCACCTCGAATTTAGGTCTCGGACACATAAGCGTAGAGTCGTTCTGGAATATTTGGAGACGGTCCGGATGCATCTCCAAAGTTCACTGAGGTGGCCACAAAACAATTGGAACCAAGCACCACGAACGCCTGCAATGCCCCAACCCCCCACCACGAACGCCTACAATGCCCCAACCCGCCCTGCAATGTACTGAGACACATGCAGATTGAGTTGCTTCTTAATGTCAGCCTAGCATTCATTGCTCAACCATCTCAACCCACAGCTCCTTCAATAAATAGAACTCCAATTGAGCAGATCCTTCGGTTTTGGCAACGCCTAAAAAATGCATCCGGCTACAAGCCCCATTCTCTTCTAGGCCACCTTTACGCCATTCCATGAATTCGCAGATGGCACAATTCCCACAAGAGTAGGACTCAACCAAAACGGCTTGGAATTGCTCCAAATGAACATTCAAAGTCCGGCTTCACTCTGCGAGGCACCTTTTTGTGGGGCACCCTTTTTGGGGTTCGAGGTCAATTTGCAGGTGTGGATCGTCTTTTCTAAAGGGCACCCTCCCCAACACTGTGGTCTTCCCCTTGGTTTGCCTTTACAACCTACCAAAAAACACGGGCGGGGGGGGGGGGGTGGCGGGGGTTTTCAGCCGCGAGTTCAGATCCGAGGCGCTGGGACAAGGCCAGAACCTTCTCCAAGTCGCCGGGCTCGGTTTCCGGCTTCACAAGCGGCGCTGGGTGTTCGATCGGCTCGTCCACCTGGGCCTAAAGGAGTTCTGGTGCTGGAAACGCGCTGTTGATTTTGGCTTGGCCGTTTTTTTGTTGGTTTTGGATTGTTTTTGTGGTGCTTGTTTTTTGGTACACAGGTAGATTTTTCGGAATTTAAGGAAGAAGAAGTAGTTGATGGATTTGTGAAAGTCGTTGAACCCTCTTTAGCTATAGGAACATGTAAGCTATTACTCAACCTGTGAGCGTTTAACCTCCAATTATAGTACCGGTGACATGGGTCCAAGGGCACCGAATCGCGGACGTGGGCGGAGCATCTGAGAAAAACATTGCATGCCCACGGGAGTTTTTTTGTCTGGTGTCTCAAAAGTACCCAATTCCTTTGCCTCCACTGTTCCGGGCACACCGTTTGGAACAATTTCTGGGGTGATTTTTTTTTGGACTCGGAGCAAGCCTCTTGAAAAGCTGCGGGACCCGAGGGGGAGCGATCCCTCACGAAGCAATGGCGGAAAGAGGACACCCTTTGCTTGTTGGTTGTCTTTCAAGGAAAAGCCCTGCCCAAAACTCTTGTACAACTTGCTTTGACTTGGTCCTTTGCAAACGCAATCCCCATGCAAAAACTATGTCCATGATCGAAATCAAGGGAAGCTTCACATGAAAGCAACTCGCAAAATGGCTGACCTTTTGGATCCCCTCCAAAAACACCCTGAAATGGGCACCAACTCCCAAAACGGTGCGCCCAAATCCACTAGGACAAACCAGTTCAAGTCCCAAACCGGACATAATTACTGGAATCTCCACTCAGTAAAGCCTCTTCATCATTGGCCCGCTCTCCTGCAACCCCGCTGGCTCGTCCTTTGTGCAGAAAGGGCTTCCCCCTTTTGGTCGATACTTCGTTAAAAAGGGTCGACATAGCTTGCGCGACGACCCCAAAACCGAACATCAACAATTTGTGCGCCTCACGTGGTCGCCATTCACATTTCGGCAATTGATGGCAACTACGGCAAGGCCCCCCGAAGTCTACTCGGGCCACGGGTCACGGGCCACGGGCCCCGCCTGCTCGGCGAGTTGCTCCAAGGCCTGCGAAATCCCAGCGCTTAAAGGATCTCGACCATAGGGATTCCTCCAGCCCAACGGGTACGGGATTTTGTCTGCATTAAACCAAATTTCCTGGAAGAATGTGTGCGTAATCATGCAGCCACCTGTAGTTTTGGGTATTCCTTTTTGGCTTCCCAGAAGCCAATTCCAATTTTCCGGGGGCACATGGGTTTGTCTCAAAATGAGGGAACCCCCGCAATGCTGGGATTGCTTGTGACGTTCCCCCCCCCCCAAAAAAAAAGAATGCGATATCTGGGGAAAACGGTCAAAGTCACATGTCACATGGGGTGTGGCATTTACCGTTGGGAGTGCAATGTCCAGTTCTTATTGTTGAACATATCTTGGGGATGTCATGACCATGGGGCAATCCCGGGCAGTCATCTAGGAAGCGTTGAGATGTTTGCCATACCTTGATGATGACAATTACCGCTTCCAGAAACCACCCGGCATTTCTCAAGTCGCATTGGACGCCTCGAAATTGCGTGGAGCCGGACAGGAGTCCCAGGAGTGCAGTTCAAAATGCGGAACTGAGCTTCCGACGCATGCGGCACTGACACCCTAAGCTTCCCAACATGCCCGGGCTCGTCATTTGTTCGAAGACACAGGCCAGCTTTGAACGCGATGCGTCAATGGAGTTCCAACCCGTTTGAGGTTGATTGCCTGTCCCTGGCTTTTGACAAGATGTAAATCTTCAGACAAAGACCTTGTTACAAGGCCCAAGTGACCACAAAGATTCTGGGTTCGAACAATGCCCCAACCCAAAGGGTTCACGAGATGGGGCTGGAGGTCGGTTACACGTTTGTCAGGCCGCGTATTCCAATTCTTTCGCCTGCAGCCCCGAGGCCCAAATCCTGTGGCGTGACTTGGCATACCAAGAGGATCTAACTGGAGGGACGCAACATTGGGCGCAGAAAGTTTGTCTCACGTCAAACTGCGTTCTTTGCTGCATGGCAGAGTCCAGCTGCTCTGTGGTGGGCTCGGAATCCCTTTGTGGTGTCTCGAGCAAATTAAATAAGCTCAGGTGATATCCCCAACAGCATGTGGAACCCTGGTGGAACCCTGGTGGAACCCTGGTGGAACCCTGGTGGAACCCTTCAGCTGTTGGGGAAAAAGAGAACAAATAACTCCCAGAATCCTCGCGGAACGCCCCGGGACCATCCTTACCGCCGGTGTTGCTGAGGATGCCGCCTTGTAAAGCAAAGCTACGAGTGACAGCGCAATCTCGCCCTGATCGGGGCCCGACGGCGCAATCGGGGCCCGATCGGGGCCCGACGGCGCAATCGGGGCCCGATCGGGGCCCGACGGTGCAATCGGGGCCCGATCGGGGCCCGACGGTGCAATCGGGGCCCGATCGGGGCCCAACGGTGCAATCGGGCCCCGATCGTCCCGTGGTGCAACCCCAGCCACCCATATTATAGCTCAACGCCGGTTTTCCTTGGCATGCGGATTGCAACTGTATCAAAAGCAAAACTGGGCGATGCCAGCTTGGTACAATTGTCGGGCCCCGATCGGGGCCCGACGGCGCAATCGGGGCCCGATGGGGGCCCGACGGCGCAATCGGGATAATCGGGGCCCGATCGGGGCCCGACGGTGCCCGATGATCGGGGCCCGACAATTGGGGCCCGATCGGGGCCCGACGGTGCAATCGGGCCCCGATCGTCGTGTGGTGCAACCCCAGCCACCCTTCTTATAGCTCAACGCCGGTTTTCCTTAGTATGCGGATTGCAACTGTATCTATAGCAAAACTAGGCGATGCCAGCTTGGTACAATTGACGGGGCCCGACTGAGTCGGGCCCCGATCGGGGCGCGATGGCGCAATCGGGGCCGATCGGGCCCAAAGGCCCCGACAGTGCAATCGGGCCCCGACCTAGGCCCGGTGAACCTCGCAAACCGTTCTCACGCAACTTTCGCGGAGCTCAGCGTGAAACTTTGCTGGAACCTTTCCTCAGGGCTGCCCCATAGCTTTTGCAGAATTTGGTGTTTGACCTCATAGCCCTCGCAGCCTCGTGGAATTCTTGGAACCCCAAGCAGCAATGCCAAGCATTTACCCTGCTGCACCGTGAGTTCCGCAGCGACTTGATCTGATTTGCCACAAAGCCAACATTTGCCTGAGCAAGTGAGCAAGTCACAAAACAGTGAAAGTGTGCTAAAAACCATTGATTTCGGTTTTGCTTAGTGTTCCGCCCATGAGCAAAGCGATCTTGATCCGATGGCTTTTCAGACGACGGGCGCGCGACACACCCTTGGCGGAGCATTGTGGAGCCTTGTGGAACCCGTGTGGAATCCTTGCAGAGCTTTGTGGAACCCTGTGAAACCTCAGGGCCCACAGCCCTCGCAGAATCTTGTGGAACCCTGAAACCCTCATACAACCTTACCTCAAACCACCCCGGACCACCCCGCAGCCCTCGCAGAACTTTGTGGGACCCTGCAGAACTGTGCTGGAATGGAACCTTACCTTGCAAAACCTGGTAGAATTCTGGTGGACTTCTCATGGAACATTACCTCAAACCAGCCCGGACCGCTGGTGGAACCCTGGTGAAACCCTGGTGGAACCCTCGTGGAACCTTACCTCAAACCACCCAGACCACCCCGCAGCCTGGAACCCTGGTGGAACCCTGGCGGAACCCTCGTGAAACCTTCCTCAAACCCGCAGCCCTCGAAGAAATTGGTGGAACCCTGGTGGAACTCTCGTGGAACCTTACCTCAAACCACCCCAGACCACCCCGCCCTTGCAGAACCTGGTGGAACCCTGGTGAAACCTTACCTCAAACCACCCAGACCACCCCGCAGCCTGGAACCCTGGTGGAACCCTGGCGGAACCCTCGTGAAACCTTCCTCAAACTGGTGGAACCCTGGTGGAACCCTCGTGGAACCTTACCTCAAACCACCCCAGACCACCCCGCCCTTGCAGAACCTGGTGGAACCCTGGTGGAACCCTGGTGGAACCCTGGTGGAACCCTGGTGGAACCCTGGTGGAACCCTGGTGGAACCCTGGTGGCTGGTGGAACCCCGGTGGAACCCTGGTGGAACCTTAGCTCAGGGTCGCCCCGAACCACCCCGGAGCCTATCTGGGCTGAGACCCCAAAGCTTTCAGCTGTTGGGGAAAAAAGCGTATTGCACCAAGCACTCAAGGGGAGAAACTCGAGCAAACCAGTAAAGAAAACTCCGCCAAATGCTCTATCTGCCTTCGTCTTTTGGTTCGGAGCAACCCTACCTGCGGAAACCTTGTTGAGGGTGCTGTAACGGGCCCTCAAACTACCCAAAAAGACGGAGCATTGCCCGAACTGGCGCTGTGATTTCCGGCTTTTCTCTACGGGTGTTTGGGGGTGCAGGTACTGCAGTTCCACCCTTCCCACACAACCTCGCCTCGATGAGGCGATGCCCATTGGCCTGCAGGGCCTGTGTTTCGAGGGCACCCGACCTGGGGTGTGGGGTTAAGGGAAAACGAAAGTACCGCCACCCATGTTGGGTGGCTCCCTACACATACCCATATGGGAGACACATACCAATACGGGGAAACCAGATTTGCAAAGAAACCCTGATAAAAAGCGGGTGCTTGTGAGGAGTTGGGGGTGTCCACTCTTGTGGGACAAGTCCCTTGACTTTGCACACTCGGGCCTAATGGTAAACCAGCTGGTGCTGACCTTGTTGCGTCCCAGCCAAAAAGAACACAGAAGGCACACAGGTGAGTGGGAGCTCCGGCTGCGAATTTACGAGGCGCAAAACACATAACTTTGCTTCCGCGAGACGGAAGTTTGGATTTGCGGTTGCCCTGTTTGGCAACTGATAGTCAAGTGGGGAGTTTGCCTGGGGCACATCTGAAAACGCAGGTGCCCTGACGACTGGCTGGTATACACTGAGCCCAACGCATTCAGTTCCTCTGTTAACATCAGCCTACTCAAAGGAAACTCCATTCAGGTTGGCCAAATGGGTGTTACCATCACCCACATGGGACATGAGGGACCTCTGATCGCGATTCACTCTCGGCTTTCCCGAAACTGGGGCCTCTTCCCTTTGAATCTCATGACCCCCGAATAGATACAATCCCTGCGAACTGCAAAGATGAAGGACCCCTTGGGAGCTACGTGATAAAGCCCGCCGGAAACCTTTCAAGTTCAGTGACTCTGCAAATGAGTATATCAGAACCCACTCGTAAAAATGAGATCTCTTGACAGACCTTCCTGAGGTTACATACTAGCCGGAGAGCATCATTTAGGGACTGAGGTGGACTCCCTCGCAAAAGGAACATGTAGAGACTCCTGGTCCCTCCGCATCACCGCCAGCGATGGGCTTCTTGCTGGAATGTGATTCCCCCTATAAAAAAGAATCAAAAACGCAAGGACCACTTGCTATTTCAATAGAAGCATCATGGCTTCCAAAAGATTCTCAGGGCTAAGTGCCTTGGAGCCTCAATCCCTGTCCCTGTACTCCGCCAAAAGCTCCGCACTTGTCGACTAGGCGTCAAGCGAGCGAACCACAGAAGTCGGCCCTATATAAAGAACCAACATCTGAAGTCGTCTATGTGTGGAATCAGTGAGGAAACAAGCAAGTCATTCAATTTTGACCTATAGGTCTTCGAATTGGTCACAAAGTTCAACCCAGTCGGCGCCGAAAACTTGAAACCGACCTGACAAGCCATCCGCACATACCCCGTGTGATCGTCGAGCAAAGACTACTACACTTGGCAGCCAGCAGGTGGCATCCAAATCCGCCCGAGAAAAGACAATAAAACAAAAACACGGCCAACACCTTTTCCCGTAAAGCGCAAGGTTCCAAATTTACGGGGCGGGCTGTCCCCACCTTCTCTGCATCTACCTGAGCTTCGATTTTGCCCGGCCTTGCGTGCGGCTGCCTCATCGAAGCCCATCTGCACCAAAGTCCCCGCGTCGCCTTGGCTGGTCGAAGCGGCCCAGAAAGGACATGAGCAACCCGGACCACATGACCCAAACCTGGGTAAATTGGGTGCCCCCTGATTTGAAGGGACATTTAGGTTCCCTGATTCGAAGGGACATTTAGGTGGGCCGCCCACGTCTCATTTTGACGCGTCCCGCAACACAGGTTACTGAACTGGCAATTGTTCATGTTTTTAAAGTTTTTTTTGCATTTTGCATTTTTCCAGTTTTTCGCGGGCATTTGTTGCTCGATTTATGTCGCTGAGGTTGACTTTAGAGAAGTTAATTGTTTGGGTTTCAAGTTGTTTTTCGGTGGGAAGGGGGGGGGGCAGGACGGGACAATAATAATGCGCCTGTGTGCCCATTGTTGCGAAAGGCTTGATTCCTGCAGCATCGTTTTTCGCTGGCTGCTCGCCTTCGGAGAGTCGGAACGGAATTATCTTTTTTCATCTCGTTTGTTGTTTGAGGGCTCGGTGGCTTGCCCCGCCCCACCCCCCCTCCTCCCAAGCCCATCAATGATTGACGTTGTTGCGTTTGCTTGCGCGGGTTCGGTGGCTTGCCCCGCCCGGCCCCCTTAAACAAATCCTTTCGCTGGTTTTGGCGGCATGCCCCATCCAGCAATAGGGTGCCCAGCTCCCCCTTCCTCCAAAGTGAAGCCCGCCAACGATTGAAGTTGTTGCATGTGCTTGTGCTTGCGGGTTCGGTGGCTTGCCCCGCCCGGCCCCTACGCCTTCTGCAAGCAAGAGGGAAGGCGTCTCAGGGCAAAAGAGTCTCACAGGAAAGCTGTGAGCTGACGAACGGACATGCGTGATGCGACGCAAGAGCCGCCCAAGTCGTATGTTTCTTGCGGATCATATTTTTCAAGCGGATAGATGTGTTTTTGCAGAGCAGATATGCTTGTTGCGGTGTGCGCTTGCGGGTTCGGTGGCTTGCCCCGCCCGGCGCCCACAATGACTTACGCTGGTTTCGGTGGCATGCCCCATCCAGCAGTAAGGATTCAGAAGGGGCGCTTCTGAAACCGCCCTTTTCCGGAAGCGTTCTCAGAAAGGCTTTCGTGTGTAAGGGCGGCTCGAAAAACAAGACTTTCGTGGGAAGTCTGCCTGCAAGTCTTGTTTGGTTTTTTGAAATTTCGGTTGAACTGCCCGTAGAAGGGAAATAGCGTGAGAAAGTCTACCAATGGCACGGGGGCAAAAAGGCAGCGCAGTGAAGCAGCTTTGCTCCTACTACAAGCAGAGCCAAGAAGGACGTGAAGAACAAGTGCCACACAGCTCGCCGTGAGGAAGTGGATCTTGAGCAATGTCGGCCCTTAAGAAGCCACTGTCAGACTGTAAAGTTCTGTGGTCAAACGCATTTAGACGCCTGCCTATCAAAAAAGAAAAAAGCTCCACCCGTTGGAAGGGAAGCTCTGGACACGCAGCAACTGGCCAGTCTTTTTCAAACCTTGGTGGAGCTAGGCCGTGGCCCCAAACAAAAAAAGGGTCCTGCGGGCTGCGTGGGGCTTGTCTTTGTTTACAAACTTCAGGTTCGGAAAGACTTGCAGCGTGCCCGTGCCCATGTCTGCCAAATCGCAGTATAGCTGAGCAAAAGCTTCGTGCTCCGGCGACAAGAGCTGTCCCGCCAGCTGCTCGTCGGCTGCTGCGTCGGCGTTGAACACCTCAACGCGCCCAAGCCACTGCTGAAACGCAACTGCGTCCAGCTGGGGACAAGCCACCTGAGCTGGCACAGTTGGCTTCAGGCAGTCCTTGAATTCTTCTGCACCAGCAAAAGGGGTGGCCAAATCATGAAGCAAATGCACAACAGCCGTGGCAACTCCGACCGCAGAGAAGTCATGAAGCTTCCGTGCGCCCAGAAGCATGTGCTGAGGACGCAAATCCTCTGCGCACGTTTGCCCTCGCAAGACAAGGATCGTCTTTGAGCAGTCCGAGTGCACAGTGACGCAGGAGGCAGCGTTGAGCGTTTGTCGCGTGCGAGCCCGCAGCGACTCGGCCAAGCAAAACTTGAGCTTCTGGGCTCGGCGGCGAAGGATCTTGCCGCCGGACCAGGCAATCCCATCATCACCGCCATGTTTTCCCTTGCGTGTAGCTCGCAGAACTGCGATGAACTCTTCGAGAGATGGGGCCATCAGACGCAGTCGGATGTCTTCATTTGATGCTGCGGCCTGGTGCCTTTTGGTTTTCTCATGGTCTCGGAAGTGGCTGACCTGCAATGAAGCAATGGTTCGAAACTCCGCTGACACATGCCCAGCAGCTTTGCAGGCAGCACAGCTGACGGAGAAGTCGCCTGTGTCCCACTGCACAGCCTCCAGCCACGGGAACTGCTCGGTCCACCGCCTGCCAAAGCGGGCCCATGCGCTCTGCGCGGACATTCCGGGCAGCTTGGGCCAGAGCTCTGTCCAGAGGGCGCTTGCGGAAAAAAACTTAAGTTTACGCACGAAGTTCCTGTCCAGAGGGCCTCTGGAATCCGAAGGTCGACTCAACAAGCCGCAGCGCTGTGGACTGTCCAAAGAACTAGAAACGTTCGAACACCGGGAATTTTGCGTTCCCCGAAATCCAAGAATTGTAGTCCACTCGACGGTCCGCAGCGCTGTGGTTTGTGGAGACAACTTATGGAAACCGGAGACCCTCTGGACAAATGGGGTCTGTGGAAAAAAACTTAAGTTTTTTTCCGCGGACCAAGCTGATCGGGCGAGCGTACGTGTCATGTGGGAAACTGGATGGACGTGACCGGACTGTCTCTCGGCAACCCTTGATCCTCAGCACTTCATGACGCCGGACGTCCTGATTCAATGTCCTTGGCTGGCCGCATGTTTTAAGCACCGTTCGATCTGCGTTTGACATCTCTCTGCAGCAGCAGCGGGGGCACGCCGCCGACACAAATCCAATGTGCTGGGGCAAGCCACCAACGCGGGCCGGGGCACGCCGCCTGAGCCACATCATGGTTACCAAACTCACAAACTTACGCGGCAGAGCGCGCAAAAGCCCAGCGTTGCGGCTCAGTTGGGCTCCCTGTCCGTGGGGTCGTCCTCCTCTTCCTCGGCTGGGTCTTCAGTGGCCGGCGGCGCGGCAGCCTTAGCCTTGACTCGTCTGCCCTGCTTGGGGGCTGGTCCGGCGCCTGGAGCAGGCGGCGCAGCTTTCAGCATGTTCTCCACCAGGTCGACCAGCGCCGAGCCACTGTTCGGCGGCCCTGCCCCCCGTTCTTGGCAGGAGGAGGCACTGGGCCAAGCTGCCCAGCCTGGCTTTGCTCACCGGCGGCGCTTTTCCTCCGGCCTCGTCAAGTTGCTGTCACCGCTGTCCGCCTGCGTCGTGGTTGGCAGGCACGGCGAGACCACTTGGTTTCAGACTGGTTTGAAATATTAAAGCAGCAGAATAAACACTGCGTCTGTGCATAAAACAAAGCACTGGCCTGCAGAGCGTCGCGCAGCTCTGCAGCGTAATACTGACTGCTTGGGCTCTGCATGTGTGCCCACAAGCGGCCGAGCGCGACATTCATGTGAAGACTATTTTCCAGGCTGAGGTAAGCCGCCAACGCCGTCGCTGCTGCGGCTGCCTTGCTCGTCAGTCTGACCCTTGCCCGCCGCGCTGCCGCCTTTGAGGCCCTTCCCGCCAATTGGCACAACCACGCCCATGAAGAAACCTACGATGACGCCAGCAACGAGCGCAATCGACATGGCTGCAGCTTTCACGCCAGTGATGGGGCAAGCCACCAAAACACGGCCGCGCCTGCTAACTTGTCTAAGAGCCGCCAAGCGAACACAGCGCGTCTTGACTTGCCAAGCACGGATGGTTTTGCAAGCGGGCCGCAGTGACCAAACCTTGGAAGCAATAGAAAACAACTGCCTTCTGAGCTGTCGCCATTGAGTCTGTGTAACCGCACAATCAGGAAAACTTTAAGGTCACTAGTCCAGATTTGGCGTGGGGCCAGGCCCCACTAAAAGTCTGGTAGTAACAATGCGCGCGCCCGCAGCTTGCAGGCAGACTTCCCACGAAAGTCTTGTTTTTCGAGCCGCCCTTACACACGAAAGCCTTTCTGAGAACGCTTCCGGAAAAGGGCGGTTTCAGAAGCGCCCCTTCTGAATCCTTACTGCTGGATGGGGCATGCCACCGAAACCAGCGTAAGTCATTGTGGGCGCCGGGCGGGGCAAGCCACCGAACCCGCAAGCGCACACCGCAACAAGCATATCTGCTCTGCAAAAACACATCTATCCGCTTGAAAAATATGATCCGCAAGAAACATACGACTTGGGCGGCTCTTGCGTCGCATCACGCATGTCCGTTCGTCAGCTCACAGCTTTCCTGTGAGACTCTTTTGCCCTGAGACGCCTTCCCTCTTGCTTGCAGAAGGCGTAGGGGCCGGGCGGGGCAAGCCACCGAACCCGCAAGCACAAGCACATGCAACAACTTCAATCGTTGGCGGGCTTCACTTTGGAGGAAGGGGGAGCTGGGCACCCTATTGCTGGATGGGGCATGCCGCCAAAACCAGCGAAAGGATTTGTTTAAGGGGGCCGGGCGGGGCAAGCCACCGAACCCGCGCAAGCAAACGCAACAACGTCAATCATTGATGGGCTTGGGAGGAGGGGGGGTGGGGCGGGGCAAGCCACCGAGCCCTCAAACAACAAACGAGATGAAAAAAGATAATTCCGTTCCGACTCTCCGAAGGCGAGCAGCCAGCGAAAAACGATGCTGCAGGAATCAAGCCTTTCGCAACAATGGGCACACAGGCGCATTATTATTGTCCCGTCCTGCCCCCCCCCTTCCCACCGAAAAACAACTTGAAACCCAAACAATTAACTTCTCTAAAGTCAACCTCAGCGACATAAATCGAGCAACAAATGCCCGCGAAAAACTGGAAAAATGCAAAATGCAAAAAAAAACTTTAAAAACATGAACAATTGCCAGTTCAGGTTAAATGGTCGGTTTACACGCTTGGCCGGGGGGGGGGGGGGAAGCATACTTGCTTTCCGCAAAAATCAGAACAAATAGAGAGCCTTGGGAAATGTCCATGACTACGAACTGAAAACTTGAAAACCAACAGACCAAACGGCTGGCTTTGAGCATGTCCTTTGCACCTCTGCTCTCCAGTTCAAAGCAAAACAGAAAAAGTCCTTCCCAAGCCTCCCGCATACAAATCAAAGCAACAAAAAAAACATCAAACAAACAAAAACTTCCCGCCCCACCCACAAACGGGTTTGAAGCCCCCCCACCAAAAAGAATGTTTGTTCCGATCATGGGATAGTGGTTCTGCAAATCGCCACCGCCACACACCCACGCCTTTTTGCCCAGCGGCAGGACTCCGTCTGCTCGCTGGGCGCCTACCGAAGCTTCCCGAGCGAATTCGGGCCTTTCCAGGCTCCAAATCGGCGCGTTTCGGGTATGCCAATCCTAACAGGAGGTAGTTCGTGTCACTCAGTGCTGCCCACGTGCTCTATGAGTTGGAGTGTGGTTGTCTTTTGGGAAGCACAGCGCCCAGTGTGTTTCTAACGGTTGATTTCAAAGATTGAAAGAGTCTGCAAGTACCCGGCCTGTTTCAAGCGCATGCTGCAGAGCATCCCCAGGCAAAAAACATGTTTGCCTTTTTATCACCGAAAGCCAGTTTCTTGTTGTTTACAAAATGCACATGTTTTGAGAAACCTAATGTGTACAGATAGGGAGACATACACACAAAAAGGCTGAGGGAGTGTGCTTCAAAGAGATATGAGGGGTAAACAGCTCTGCCTCGCAACAGAGAATGCCGAGGAGGTTCTAAAGATGAGGTTGCCAAGGGGCGAACTGGGGTTTGCAAGGCATAAGCAAAGCAAGTGGTTTAGTGTTTCCCTATTTTTGTGTTGCACTCCTTTTTCACAGATTTCGAAAAGCAAACTCCGACCGTAAAACATTGTTTGGCGAGCAATAGGTCCAAAAACATGTATTTCGTTCAATACCCTGCCTCTAGCCGAGTTTTGGGGTAGCAGGCCTCTGGGCGGCATTTCAAAGCGATCTGCTTTTGGGTAAACACAAAGCAACGCATCTGCAGATGGGCTGTGTGATAGGCAGCGTCTACAAAACCCGCTTGACACGTAGCTTCCCCTGGCGTGTAATCAAACACTTCCTTCTCGGCGGCCTTCCTTTAAACAGCAAACCCAACTGGAACACATAGTAGTGAAGGTGTGACACTCATGCACCTGCGAAAAAAAAATCCATGGTTGTGGGATCATCAACGCACGCGGTGAAACAAAGTCGTGCCCACCCCACGGGTCAGCTTACACCAGGGTTTGACGTGGCACAACGTGAGTGGATCCGAGACCCTCCGATCCATTGCACAGAACAGTTTCTTAGACATCTTGCATCCAGGCCACCTCCTGGCAACTTTCATGTGTTTCAGGTACTTTAGTTTGTGGCTGGGTTCAAAATCCAAGATTCAAGATTGAGGACACTTTATTGGGAAGCTTGGATCCAGGCCACCCAAAGTGTTTGGCTGAAACTTTTAGTGTTTCCCAAAACTTTTAACTTTTTCGGGATGGCCTGGATCTAAGATGTCCAAGAAACTGTTCTCCGCTATCTTGGATCGCGGATCCAGCCCAACAACACGAAAACCCGTAAAGTATATTTTGACATATGGAGGCACTTCTTGTTGAACTCAGGAAATGCCCAGATTGAACCCAAAGCATGACCTACACTGCCCATTTCAACCTTCAGGAAAAAAAGCAATGATCTGACAGATGGTGATACATACAGCATTTGCATCTTACTGCATGTTTGCCAAGCAGAACCTGTTCTTGGTTTGCTTCGTTACGGGCCTTGGCCGCAGGCGATCAGATCAACGCGAAGCGTCGCGACCCTCCCTAAATGACCTCCCCCAACCCCCACCGCGGAATTTGCGAGAAGGCTTGTCAGGAGCTAGTCGTTGGCGCTTTCAGTTGGCGGCCTTGGAGTGGGCAAGCCTTGGTCACTGTAGTGGTGCACGCATTGTAATTGAATCTTGGTTCAAATCCAGTGGCTGTTTGGTGCATTGTGTTTGCGCATCACCTGCACATCTTCAGCTAGCAATGCCGGCACCAGCACCTAACGTCACCTCCAACATCCTCAGCATTGCCTGCAAATCACTGTCCAACAAGGAAGCTAGTACCTTCGCCTTTCTTTCAAATGCGGCCTTGGCCCAAGCATCCCCAAGCAATTTGCGAGCGCTTGGAGCCTCTGCGGGCACGCTGCAGAGTGTTAACATGGAATTAGACAAGGAAACTAAACCTCGAATTTGACGAATCAATTCCAACTAGCAATTCCAATTTTCTTGTTCTCCATTTGTGTTTGCTTATTCGACATGCATACGGAGATACAAGCGGCTAAAGTTGAACTTGAACTTGAAAGCAGCATATATCAAATTTGTTGTTCTTCCCATATGTGAGTTTCAAGATGACAACTTGATAAAACCTACGTGGACAAGCAACATCTTTTAGGTAGGACTGCTTTCCAAATTGAATTTAAGCGAATAGAGGTAGAGTTGTGCTGTACGTGGAGTCATACACGTATAGTTTAACAATAAACCAATAGCACTGCACAAGGATATGGGACACTTGAATAATTGATCTGGAGATCAAATTCAAATAGCCGTCTATTCCCCCCCCCCCCCCGAATTGACGGTTTGCTGAATTGTTCCTGCACGATAAGAGTAATTAAGACATGATGACAGAGCTCATTCAGGCACGCGTTGAAGCTGCCATGTGCACTTTGAGTACTACTCTTGTCATGAATAGCTACGCTTTTTGAGCTGGAGCCGCCAGAGCATGTTCCTCTAAAAAACGCGATTCGCACTTACATGGAATCGAAGAGGGAAGCAAGTTCTTGTAAGATTCGCTTGACGTAACTTTCAAAAAGCTCATCGATGGTGTTTCTCCAAACTTGAGCCCTGGGCATATATATATATATATATTCATATTATTTGTAGATACCCTCCCACCAGCGATTCCATGGGTTTGTGCACAGAACCCTGTAGAAAGACTACTTTCCTCTTGGAAAGGGCCTTTTTTGCACTTCCATGTTAGTTGCTGGGAGGGTATATGTACACTTTTGTACCGGGCATGGAGGACACAAAAAGGATTTTCTACAAATACTGTGAATGTGTCCAACATCAGGGGTGCCTCCCCCGAACTTTGGAACCAATCCGTTTGCAAACCCATCGAGCGTCACATCAAAACATACGGCCACGGATCAAAATCCAAACCGTACCCCCAGTGAACATCCCAATCCCCACTAAAATAGGTTCTAAAATGGGTGGTGCACCTACCAACCAAAATGTACCACTGGTTTTGACCCATACCCATATTTTTGCACAGGCCTGCGTCTTCTGGATCAGCGTGACCTCACATCCACAGTGGCTCGTGTCAACTATTGAACAAATGGTGAACCGGGGTCTCAAAATACCGGAATCCCCAAGATGGTGCTTGTCCTAGTGGCTTCCCTCTAAAAATTACCCCACAAACACACACACGCACACACACGCACACACACGCACACACACACACACACCCCTTGGACAGTGAACTCATTTGCTGACGGAAATTGGGTGAGCCCCGACCAGATCGAAGGTGAGGTTGGCTGGAAAGTTGAACGTTTGTGTTTTGTTTAAATGTGAAGGTACCAACCAAGCCATATTTTGGGTAACATCGAATGTTGCCGAGGCCAGGTTGGAAAGCAAAGTGATAGCACAGAGGTGACAGGCTGTGCCCACTGAGAGTTGTTCTTGTTTCAAGTGTTTCTTCAAGGGGAATGTCATGGTTTTATTCTTTCAAGGGTTAGCTTCATGCTCCTACCATGCTCCTGTCTTGCTCGCCATACTCCAAGGGAAAAATGTCATGATCCCTGTTTCCAAGGGATCATGTCATGCTTCCTTTCTGTCCAAGGTGGTTTCTTTCGAGTTCCATTGAAAGGCCATCCAAACGTGGTCGGCTCCCTTGAAGAAAAGGCTGTTTTGGTTGGGTTGTCCTCTCTGCAAAACGGGCAGCCAAACCGATGCTTACATGTAGGCATGTGTAAAAATCATGGGACCCCCAAAACTGGTTGCTTTCCTTTGGTTTCTTGTTAACCCAAATGGTACCCTCAAAAACAATTCCCTTTTCTTCCACAAATCCAAGGGGACGCCTTGGAAGGCGGTTGCCGGCTTCCAACTCGTGCCTCGTTTGGCAGAATTAGAATCATTTTCGTGTTGGGGTTGATTCAATACTGCGGAATCCGCCAAACGCAAAGAGATTTGGAGGATTCCACTGAAGAGCTGCAAGAACGCAACCCCAATGTGGTACCCTGAAACTTGACACACCTGAGCAACTCAACGCCTGGCTGGCGGAGTGGCCGTCAAAAAGGAAGCAAGGCTGGCACTCAACATCATAAACCTAGGGTCGACGAACATGCTCTACCTTGGAAGGACCAACCTGCTGCACTGGTTGGCAGGTGGCTTATCAACCAGTAATCACACGGTTTTACTCATTCACGGTACCCACAACATGGGGTTCCTTGTGGTGTTCCTATAAGCCGGGCTGAAAAAGGTACGCCGCAAAAAAGACACGCACAAACACACACAGACACACAGACACGCAGACACACCAAATGTTTTCCGTTGTATCCTAAGCAGTCTTCCAAGAACACACACACACTTCCAACTACACCAGAGGTGAAGGATTTGCAACTGAACCAACATGACGACAGCTGCATCCTCTGTCTGAAAAGAACCGGACAAAGGTACCAAGGTACCTCCTGCGAGTATCGCCCTTTTTGTCCCGTTGCAGGGCAATTTTTTGTTTTGGGTTGCTTTTTGTTTGTCCAAGTCTTCTTTCTGTGCTTGCGGGCCCCTTAAAAGAACAACAACCCAACCAACAAAAGCCAACACCGAGCAACACCGACCCACTGAAACCCGCCAACATCCAACCGTGCTGGGGCCCCTGGAACGAAGAGAGCCACAAAAAACAAAAACAAAGAACAAAACAGCCAAAAAAACAAAACAACCAAACAACAAAAAGAACCAAAAGCAAAACCAAAAACGCCAAACATCCGGGCCCCTGAAAAGAAAAACAAGAAGCCACCCCCCCACCCCCCAACAAAAACAACAACAACCCAATAGCTAACCCCCAGAAAAAGTAACCCCAAAAAACAACCAAAACAAAACAACAAACAAAAAAACAACCCCAAGAAAAAGTAGCCAAAAAAAAACAACCAAGAAAAAGTAGCCCAAAAAAAACACCAACAAAAAACAAGCCCAAGAAAAAGTAGCCCAAAAAAACAACCCCTGAAAAAGTAGCCCAAAAAAACAATCCCAAGAAAAAGTAGCCCAACAAAACAATCCCAAGAAAAAGTAGCCCAAAAAAGACAACCCCAAAAAAAAGTAGCCAAAAAAAACAACCACACAAAAACAACCCAAAAAAACAACCCCAAAAAAGAAACAACCAACAAAAAAAAAAGAAAAACAACAAAAAAAAACAACCCCAAAAAACACAACCAACAAAAACACAACAAACAAAAAAACAACCCCAAGAAAAAGTAGCCCAAAAAAAAAGGCTCAAGAAAAACAAGCCAAAAAAACAACCCAAAAACAACAACCCAAAAGAACAACCCAAAAAGAACAACCAACAAAAAAACAAGCCCAAGAAAAAGTAGCCCAAAAAAAACACCCAAGAAAAGGTAGCCCAAAAAAACAACCTCAAGAAAAACAACCCAAAAACACAACCCCCCCCCACAAAAAACAACCCCAAGAAAAAATAGCCCCAAAAAACAACCCCAAGAAAAAGTAGCCCAAAAAAACAACCTCAAGAAAAACAAGCCAACAAAAACAACCCAAAGAAAACAACCCAAAAGAACAACCCAAAAAGAACAACCAACACAAAAACAAGCCCAAGAAAAAGTAGCCCAAAAAAACACCCCCAAGAAAAAGTAGCCCAAAAAAACAACCTCAAGAAAAACAACCCAAAAAAAACAACCCCAAAAAACAACCAAAAAAAACAACAACAAAAAAACAACCCACGAAAAAACAAAGGAAACAAAAAGGAAAAAAAGGGAAACAAAACAACCAAAAACAACCCCAAACAAAACGGAGCCACCGAACAACATTCGAACCCCGGGCCCCGCGCCACGGAGGCCGCCGGGCCACTGCCCAGGAAGGCGAAGCTCGCGGGCCTCGGTTCTGAGCCGGGCGACGTGGGTTCCGCCACATGAAACAAAATTGTTGTTTTTTTTTACGACCGACCCAGCCAAATAGGGTAACAATGGTAACATTTAATTTGCTTTTGGGGATTCCCGTGAAGGGGAGGGAAAAAATAAAGAAATGGGATTCCAATTTTTTGGGGTTCATTTTTGAAGCCACATGGAAAAAATGCTGGAAACAAAAACGGCGCGGTGGGTTCTTTTGAAACCGCATGGAACAAATTGGTTTTAAACAAAAGAGACATCCACATATGGTACACATTTGTTTTTGGGAATATCTGGATGACCAGACTGGCCGCTCTCCTGGGGCGAAATGGATTCAACGTTTGGTTGGGTGTCAGAAGCACCCATTAACCTCGAACCTGACAGGAGGTTATTGAAAAGACCATGTTCCTTTCAAGGGACCCCCTGTCAGGCTCCATGTTAATTGGTGGGAGGGTAAGAAAATTAATCCAACATGGGAAAAGAAAAATCGCCTGGAGCCAAGAGTTCGCTTGTTGCTTCTGGGGAAAACAACCTCTCTCAAACAAGCCGAAAGGTTTAAGAGCCAACGATAAGACCCACCACAATGGTGCAAGTAGATCACAATCATGGTCACATGTCAACCAACAAGCTCAACGACACACTCGCCATGGGGTAGCTTGCACTCGCCAAGGTGCCCAAAGGCTCTCAAATCAAACAAAATGTCAAGCCCAGTGCCCTGCCATCTAAAGGAAGCTGAAGCCAGCCTTTGGGAGTACAACCCCCCCCCAAAAAAAAATAAAATAAAAAAATCACCCCGGCCCCCCCCCCCCCCCCATCGCCATTGACGAGGCTGTCCCAGTTCCCATTCCACCTGATCCCAGGGCTTCGGATCCGTGGCGCCGGCTTCGGATCGCCGGCTTCGGATCGCCGGCTTCGGCGGCTTCGGCTCCCAGCCTGTCACGGAGCAGCTTGGACACCTTGGGGCGATCCTCCCCCATCTTCGCCAGCAGAGGCGCCAACTCGGATCGCGAAGAGGGGCTTTTGATGCGGTCAAAAACCAAATTCATGTACTTTCAGTGAACATCCCAATCCCCACTAAAATAGGTTCTAGAATGGGTGGTGAATTCACCTACCCCACAATGGTACCATTGGCTTTGACAACCACAGCCATTTGGGTGAACAGAGCCTCTGCAAGTTGGGCTCCGGAGTTTGGTCAAGTTTCGGGGACCTCCAATTCGTGGCAATGGGCGGAGTCAAAGGGTGTTTCTGACCGCATGGCTTCCGCAAAGGTGCCAAATCGTCAATCCCTAAGGGGCCCAAAAGGGCCCGCGAAATGTCCATGAGGAAAATGCCGCGTGGTGAACCAAAACGCGGTGGTCGACGGACGGTCTTAAACGGAAACCAATCAACTACATGCAGAACAAAAGAAAGCCAACAGAAATCACATCGTGGGCCACGAGTGAAACTTGCATGTGTTTGCAACACATAATATGGGAAGAATGAACTTTCGGCCATGCAGCATATATCAAAAGTAGGGATGCCTCGATTCTCGATGTCTTTGGTTTCACGGCCGCTTTTCGGCTTCGTCCCAAAAAGGGCCGCTAGTTTTGAACACCCGCGTGAGCCATGGACAGAATGACTTGTTTACCCAAAAGATACTGGAAGATGTGAGTCTCATGGCTTGGGCGGAGTGTGCACAGGTGTGCACTGGTGGCGGGAGCTGGAATCATCCCAATGTCTGCTGTTTGAGCACCTGTTGGCTTGTCTCCGAGACCTCTTCAAGCGAAGCTTCAGGCAAGCGTGGAACATGGAAGTCGGCGAAGGGTTCCTTGTGACTGAAGCAAGACATGGCAAACCAAATCGAAGTCGCTTTGCCCTGAGCCATGACATTGGCCGTAGCTTGCAAAGCGAATTTTCGCGGCCGGGGGCGGAGGCGGCGGGGCGGGGGGGAACCGAAGGCGGAGTCTTGCGCCTCGAGGGGAAATTGCCCTCCTGAGTTCCAGGTGGGTTGGTGGGGCAACTAGTGACCATTGAACTGCACCAAAGCAAGCGATTCGAGCATCCAGAAAGGTGCCAGGCGAAGTTGATTCCTGCGGCTTGTGGCCTGTATTGGGTTAACCTCCAGCAGGGCTCCTGAGAATTCTCCAGTAGAAACATTGCCGTAAATCAAGTCAAATTGGAGAAACAATTATGCAAGGATGTCCCCTTCAGCATTGATCTGGTCTTTTGTGATAGCTTCTGCAACTGGGGCTAGCAACCAAATCCACAAACCCTTGTGGTTTCCAACTTGGACATTCCAAAATGGAGAGTGCTCCAAAGAGTGGATTCCTCGCTTTTGTCCTCCAATCCAACACCTCTGGGAACTTGACGTGAAATACGGCGGTTTCCCTTTGGGGCATGAACGTTTCGCAACGAGGCCATGGATGACCTCAGAATCCATGGCCTGGTGTTCATCAAGAGGAACCCCAACTTCACGGAGATGGACGTGCCCTTTTGGAGTTGAGCCGAGGGAAAGCTCTCCCAATGTCAAGGCCCCAGAATCTCCTGTAACCAAACCCTTGAAACCAGGTATTCTGACCATGGCACGCATACAATTCTGCTTGGGGACTGGGCCAAACCAGGGAAGCTAAGTTGTGTGGTCAGTGTTGGTTTACCTCTCTCCTTTTTGAAGTGTTCCTGTTTCCCTCAAACCAAAACAGAATGTGACCAAACACACGCAAGGAGAACAACTTTGAATTTCAGCGCCCCTGGTTGCGCTTGAAAGGACTTTAAGTCCGGCTGAAGGGCGGCTCCAAAGGATGCCCTGAAGTTGCGGCCAGGGGGCGTCGGCATGTGCGGCCAGCGATCCTGGCAAGGAATGATCTGAGGGCGTAGAAACAAAAGCTGGTGACTCTCTTTGAAGGACAATCTATATACAGTTCTGAATTTGAATGGTTCAGATTGAAGCAAGCCTTTGAGCAACAAGCCAAGATCCCCAACAGCCCCCTGAACCTCCCTGGAACCTCCGGAACCTCCCTGGAACCCCACTGGGGCGCGGTGTCGGAGGCTACGAAGATCCAAAGCAAGGATCATCTGCACGGTTTTTCTTGGCCCAAACGGCACGAGTTCCAATGCTTCAAGTTCTTTCGAGTCAAGATTTCATCCCGGCTGTTGGAAGTTGACATAGGGGAAGCTAGACGATGACAGGCGCAGCTTAGTTTGTTCCTCTGATATTGTGAGCTGGGTGATCAGCACTCTGGCTTCGCCCATCGTGTGGAGTCTCCCGAAGGGCGCGAAAAGATGTATGATACATATCCAACAGGGCACAACAGCTGGCATCCACCACAAACGCAACCGAACCATCCGGAATAGATTCTGGCCATCCAAAGCCAGGACATTTTGGGCCCCTTCACCGTCCAATCTCAAGCTTCCGGATATGTCTCCTTCAGACAGCACGAAGCTCCTTTTAAAAAGGCCCAATGCTTAGCCATGTGCCCAGTTTGCCAGTTCAGGTATCGTTTTGGGGGAGCTGAGCTGATGCCGTTTTGGGGATGGCTCAAAAGGCCAACCGAAAGCAAACTGGCTTGACGAAAGTGGCCGAAACACCAGAGGATGGTCCAAATCTGCCAAATTGGATTTTCCGCGTGTCCACGGTGGGAAATCCTTATGCGGGCCATGGTCATCCTTGAACAGGAAAACTCCATAATGACTACTTTGAAGCTTCCATGACCACCCACCAACCCGCAAGGTGTCACAATGACCATGGCACGAAGGATCCCCCAAAGTCAAATTTGTGGTTTTCCATATGGCCGACATGCATCTGCAAAGTCTGCATATGCTTCAAAACCCCAAAATAAGGAATCCCCAGGTGTAGGGAGCACATCGTAAGCTCGCTTCACCTTCAGGTGAGGCGAAATCTGCGAAGCCCTGCTAAAAGTGATTCACTTTTAGTGGTTTAGTACGGAAAACCCAAATTTGTTGGCAAAAAGTTAAATTGTCCTAACAGCCAAGCAAAATGCACCAAAGATGATACGTAGCTGCCGGGCTTTTTCCGAACACTTCCCACCAGTCACAATCGTTCCAAAAACCAAACCGGCGGGCGTTGGGCAAGGCGGCAAGGGGGATGAGAAATCACGCCGAGGCCGGCGGACGGTGGTCTGCCCCTCGGCCGCTGCGAGGACCTGGAGGCGAAGGCGGAGCGTGGAGTGATGCCATTTGCCGTGGATAGGTACCCAGGGGCCTGCCACCCTCCAAAAACATGCGCAACGCCGATCCCGAGTTCATGTTTTGTTGCCCAGGTCGGCCCCTTTTTCGCAGAGTATGTACTGTGCCCCCAAAGGCCAGAGTTTCTCAAACTCACTATCACTCCAAAAGCTGCATTTCAGCTTGGGCTCCGTCTATAGTGATCCCGTCCTTTCGGGAACCTGGGGGGACGGCCCAGGTTGGAGCCTCTGGGCAGTTGTTCAGGGGGCCACGTTTCAGTGAGGATTGGTGTAGTGCGGGGTTTCTGGATGCGCGCAAACATGGTGAAAACAACTTAGCTATAACAACTCTAGCCAACATCTTCGGAGGATGAACTGGGTCTTTCTTGCATGTGTAAGCTTGGGCCCCGTAGGCCTTGGAAGGTCACAATCACGACGAACGACCTCCCCACCCCGAAAGCCAAAGCGGCTTGCAACCACAAAAGCGGGTCGAAAAACTGGGTCAACCAGTCAAACCAGTTCATGCTCTTGTGGATTCCCCCACGCATCCCCCACGCAACAAATCAATCACCCGGTGACAAAAACAGGGCCCCCGAAAACAGCCGGTTTCCTATCAGTTGTTCTTTAGGCGCCATCCCCCAGCGCGAGCAAAACTGTGCTGTCAAGTGGGGAAGGCAAGCATGTTTCAACATGCAAAAGGTTGAAGGTCAAAACAACGAGTAACCAAATGGAAACACTTGGGCCCGCTATTTGGCATCCACTTGGGCGGGTGAAGTGTTGCGCAGACTCAAGAAACCGCCTTGGCGGCTGCTCGGCAGAATTGCTCCTGGACCGGATGCGGGAATTCCGCCGGGGAGTTCCCCAGGGCCCAAGTCAAGCCCCACATCGAAGAACCGACGCACTTCCAGTTGGGCGGGATGGCGGGGCCTGGGACCCTTTTGACGGTCAAGCGATGGAGGGAATGGGATGAGTTAAACAATCCAATTGCAGCTGCGCTGCCCGAAGACCTGAGAAACCCAAAACCCGGTGAGGCAACACAAAAACTCTTAAGCGTCCGCTGCGCGATGCTGGCGCCAGCAAGCCATCACCACTTGCCGCCACTTCCCTGTACACCAGCTGGAAGCACGTGAGCAACACCTTTGCCACATGCGAGAGGAGACGACTCCCAAGCGAGTACAGCTTTTGCTGAGTGTATCGGGCCTATATACACTGGACGCGGTGCCTGCGCAATGTTTCCGCGGGTGTGCGAACTCATGGAAAACTACCTGCGCAAGCCTACGCTACGCCTAGTGCCTACGCCTTGTGCCTTTCGCGGACGCTACCATTGAGATTCGACAAACGAGGATGAACTGGTCGCAAATGGCTGTGGGTTAAAAATAGGTACCCCGAATGGAACCCTGGTAAGTGGAAACATGGACCAAAACCTGCGGTCCCCTGGTGGTTTAATTTTGACCCATAAATGAAGATGCAGCGGCGCATAAAGCGAAGACCTCCAGGGAGAAAGGCCGAATCTTCTCGCAATGCGAAAGGCCCCTGGCCACCCAATTGTCGACGTGCGCCTATGCGGGGTCAGCGTTCACAGAACCACACGCCTACGCGAACCTGGCTACGCCGGACTTTCTTGAAACGTAAAAACGCGGAGGACCTACGCAATGCGTTTCCCCACCAGATTTGCCTGCTCGGTGCCTCTGCACAAAAACAACTCTGCTCGAGCGGGGCGAAAGTACTCGTTCGCACCCAAAAGCAAAGGTTCGACAGACAATCTAGTCGCCAAAGATCTCAACACGAAACATGAGGCATGACTTCGAGCAGGGCCGTCGGGGACATCTCCAACCCAAATCTCTGAGTTCGAGTTGACACCTGTTCAATCCCTAACCGCAAAACAACCAAACCTCCCGGTTGTTGGAAAGCACGCAAACTGAAAGGATCCCCCCGGCGGTTTCTTCCAAACCATTTGCGGGGGCTCGTAGGAACATAAGGCGGGTGAAACGCCTTTTGCCACCATAAGGTTGAGTCTGTCTTCTTTTTTGAGTTGGTACCAACCTTTTGGGGTCGTTTCGATGCGAAATCAAGAAAGAGAAAAACCGCAGCCATTTTGGAATTCCCCGAACACAGAACACACGCACCAAAACCTTGGTCTCCCCGTCAGCCTCCCTGTTTTCAGGGTCCGTCGCTAAAGCAAGCCGTTGCCGAAACTTCTGGAAACACCTAGTGTGCCTCAAGCCAAATTCGCATTGTATATTGGCATTGCAAGGCAAGCACAGGAGAACCAACCTGGCGCGCTCTCTTCTGTGAAGCTCGTATAGAGTGTCCGTGTAGATTTCATATAGCTGCGATCTTCAGGCTTAGCTGATCTAGCAAAATAGTGGGTCCAAGACATCTCGAAGATCCGCACGCCCCGTTCTTCAACACAGGGGGAGTTGAACATGAGCTCGGGAAACTCAAAATCTTCAGCCCAACAGTTTCCTAGGGGCCCCTTGAACTAGAGCGACACGTGGCATTGGTTCATGCCTAACTCGAAGGCTTGGGATACAGGATGCTCCCCCAAGGCTTGGGATCAATTTGCAAAGAGTGCGGATATTTTGGTGTTTTTTCGTTTTGTTTTTTCTCTTCGATTTGTTTGGGTTTTCTTTTTTCAGTTGTTCGTCTGGAAAACCAACTAGCTTTCAGTATGGACGCGAGGTGGAACATTCACTGGGCACCGCTGACATGAGGTTTGGGTCCACCAATGTTTGTTTGAGGCTGAGCTGGTCTCCAAATGCGGGACCTCCCTCCCACCCCTCCAAACAGGGTTGCAACATCATTTCATGTTGTCATTTTGAGGTCTTCGAATACGTTACCATTTGTTATGTCCGACCATATGGTATAGCTATGCCAGTGAAAAGTTGAAGAAACCTAAACTGGTTGAGTTCTTGTTTTGGAGTCCCATGGCAAAAACGGAAAATGCCCAGAGCCGCCTCCAGCTCGGACTGGTTCACAGGAGTCTGGCACGCCTGGCACGTCGCGCCGCTTTATCTGTTTAGGTTCTAGCAAAATGCCTCAAAGAATCAATCGGATCATAGGTGTCCGTTTTGGGAAAATAGATGGTGGTAGATTATGAAACAGGGCACAACCAGGTCAAGGGCCATCTATTTTCTGCCAAAACAACAAGACGGACAGCTATGAATCCGAATAACCAACCTGTCACTATTCAGATATATGGGTTTCCAACTGGAGGGGCGCAATGGATAATATGGACTGTGGCTCACATCTCTACTCGGCGCATGTTGTTTACTTTATTTTGCTTCTCCAGATGCTGTCCTTGTTCAGTGGGGTCTCCAAATTGCTGGCGGAGAAACATGCGTCTCGGGCTTCTGATTGCCACGGGGTCGGCCCTGCAATCGCTATCCGTCAGACCCTTTTGTATCACAACGTTTGTGGCGCTCAAACAAAAACATCCTCATTCAGAAATGTTGACCGCCCGTTTGAGGTAGTCCCCCTCCCCAAACCAACAGACCAAGAAACGGCCAGTTTCTCATTCATGTTTCTTGGACTGAGGGGCCCCTCCGGCTGGTCTGCTGATACTCTAGATTTTGCTTTAAAGATATCCAAAAAGGGGCCCTATCTTGAGAAAATCCTGTGTCTTCCATGGAATCCATATGAATCCACAAGGGTACGCGTTTGGTGTGGATAGCTAGGGTGGGTTTAGGGTGGCTTGGGTTGGGTTTGGAGTGGGCTTCGGTAGGGCAGGTTGTGGACTAGGGTGGGTTTAGGATTGGGTGGGTTTCGGATGCATTCAGAGCACGTCTGAAGTAACCCAAAAATCAGCAACCAGACAGACAGTCAAAAAGATGGCCAAAAGGGAAATCACCTCAAGGGCTCTTGCTTGCGTTACTTTCCATGAGTCACTCTCGAACGCCCGTGCCTCTGCTGCTGCTGGCCTGGCTGAGCCAAGGCATGCAAGTGATGGATGTGGCTCAAAAAACCAGTACCAAAATGGAACCCCGGTAATTAAGTGGAAACAAGGACCAACACCTGCGTAACCCCACCTGTTTAATTGTGAGCCACACCCATATGATTCCCTTCGTGGGAATGCTGGTGGCTTTTAAATTCAGGGGCATGACCATTCCTACCAAGCCCGATTCAAAAAGCGGACAAAGGCACAATGTCTATTTCCGAACCCGTGAGTCCAATACCCGCACTTTCTTGGCAAGAACAGGCTGAGCCAATAAAGCGGTAAGCTTCCTTTCGGGTTCCCCGAAAGTCCGGTCACCTGATTTCCCCCTTGTGAGACAGACCCAAATAAGCCCGGCATGTCTGGCAAATGTTCTGCGGAAACCAACGGAATGTCAAAACGAATCCTACTTGAGATGAAAGGAAGCCACAATTGAGCCAAAGCAAAACCAAAGGAAACAACAATGAAAAGGATCGCTATTGAATACAAACGGGAAACCCCTTCAACGCAAATGGATCAAATCCGAGCTGGTGTTGGAGGAGACAGTGGTACAATCTATCCCCTGGTTTCCTGTAAATAGGGAAGTTCAAACTCCTGGACTTTTCAACACAGGAAGCTGTGTGCTACATGGGGACTAGAACAAGCAAATAATATCCATCCCCTCTTGGTTTCCTTGGAGGAATACGGGAAACTCACACACACATGTGCAATTTGCGGCCGCAAAGGTTTCTTGCCTCTCGCTTCAAGCTTGTCGCCCTCCCAGCTTGGCATTTTGCTTTTATCGGGGCGCTAGTTCAAAAGGGCGGCCCCTTTTGGATCTGGTGGATATGGTGGATGTCATATTTTGGTGCGACCCCACAGAAAGATGATCTCAAAGGGCGCTCAAAAAACTGGGGCCTTCCTGTCGCCCTGGTTTTGGGGTCAAAACATGTCACAAGGCAAGCAACCACTAGGTCACGGGACTTGCCGCCCTCCGAAACAAATTTCCTGAGTTTCCTTCGGGCTTCGTCGTTCCGAGTTGGTCCTAAGGTCATGAGAGTTTCCAGGCTCTCTTTTTGAGCCCCTGACTCACTTTCAATAGGTACAAAATGGTACAGTTCTGTTTCATAATGTGAGTGGATCCTCAAATTCACGGACTCCCCTTTCCGGACATTTGATTCATAGTTTCGAAACCAGAAGAGTTTCAAAACCAAAAAATGAGGAGTCCGATCCCGACTTTTAGGATCCAAACAATATAGGTATGCCTTTCAACCATGCTCAAAGTCCCAGCTACTGCGCAAAAAAAAAGAAGCTCAGGTGATATCCCCAACAGCGGTGCTTGTTTTAGTGCTCGCACCACCCCGCAGCCTTCGCAGAACCTCGTGGAACCCTGGTGGAACCCTCGTGGAACCCTCGTGGAACCCTCGTGGAGCCTCAAGGCCGCCCCGGACCACCCCGGAGCCTATCTGGGCTGAGACCCCAAAGCTTTCAGCTGTTGGAGAAAAATAACACCAACAGGGGAAAATAACAAAATGAAAACCAACAGGGGAAATAACAAAATTAAAACCAACAGGGGAAAATAACAAATTTAAAACCAACAGGGGAAAATAACAAAATTAAAACCAACAGGGGAAAATAACAAAACTAAAACCAACAGGGGAAAATAACAATATTAACACCAACAGAGGAAAATGACAAGATTAAAAACAACAGGGAACATAACAAAATTAAAACGGACAGTGGACAATAACAAAAATTGAAACCAGCAGGGGAAAATAACAAAACACAACAACAGGGGGAAAATAAATTTAAAACCAACAGGGGAAAATAACAAAATTAAAACCAACAGGGGAAAATAACATAACTAAAACCAACAGGGGAAACTAGCAAACCTAAACCAACAGGGGAAAATAACAAAATTAAAACCAACAGGGAAAATAGCCAAAATTAAAACGGACAGTGGAAAAAGCAAAACTATTCTTAAGCAAATGGAAGTCAAACGCACATGGCCAGCCCAAAACGTGTGGGCTCCGAGTCTCGGGCCTCGGGACAGGTGTCGGCGACTCGGGGAAGGCTGCGGCCTACCGGGGCGTCAAATGGACTGTTCGGTTGCTACCAGCACCGCTTTGAAAGGAAAAACAAAAGGAAGAAACAACACATTTTGAGAGACTCTCATTGAACTGCTTTAATTAGAACAACCAAAAATCATTTGAGGAATCTCTACATTTAGAAACACCCAATTGATCCCTTTCTCCCCTTTCTGAAAGAAAAAGCGGCGATAGTGGGAAAGAACCCCGAACCCGAACTCTTGATGCCGCTGAGCTTTGGCCAGCATGGCCAAGCGTGCGACGAAAAATCTGAACTCCACTCCATACACGTAAAGGTCATACCGGGCATGGGGGACCGCCAAGACATCAGCCACTGGAAAAAAGATCCGGAGCCAAGCCGGCCGCAGGGCGTTGGATTTGAGACCTGAAATCATCAGCCAAAAAGAAACAACAACTCCAATTGGCAACCAAATGATGATTACCCGGGGCACATAGATTGTTCTACATTGAACCCTGGAACGGGGCATCTGATCCTTTTGGCCGGGTGTGTGTGTGTGTGTGTGAGAGTGTGTTTGCCCCCGCACAAGTTGCAGTTCCTCAGGGTGTGCGGATCCACAAAAAACCCTCAGCTTCTGAAAAACTGAAAGGACGGCAACAGCGAGGAGTTCCAATTCTCTGCAGCGTACTTTGCAAAAAAAACAAAACCTTTGTCGCAGGTGAAACAATGCTCTGCAAAGGCTTTCTGAAGATGGGGAGGGTGCAGTTGGAAGGGCTGTTTCTGGCAGATTCGGTAACTAAGGAAACAACCGAGATGGGTTTCTGTTGAGGGTCCAGAATGTTCTCTATATTTTGTCAACATCACCCGCCCCAAATGATTGTTCAATTGCAATTGGCCGTCCACCGGCTGCGTGCACTCGGAGCGGATTTCTGGGTGCCAACATGCCCGGTTTGAAGATGGCAGATGTTTAACTTGAAAGCAGTAGACACATGGTGTTGAAGATCAACTCAATCAATTGTCCCTGGAAGCGCCATGGGTTCTTTCAAATGCAGCCCAACCCCTATGGGCAAAACAGATTTATTTCATGGAAAAGCGCCAAATTGCCAGAGACTCACTTGACTTTGGACTGGAAAATCAACGCTCTCCTTGGAAGGTGATCCTTGAAAGGCTCGGAGAAACTGTTCCCAAACATAAAGCTTCTATATCGGAGTGTGTCAGTGAAAAATATATGTTCAACACGTGGTAGGGCACCCCAAGCCAGTTTCGGTTGAAGACAATGGAGGCCTTTGCAAAGGGAGTCCTTTACCCGTAGTCACATAGTCATTGTTAGACCACGATACGAAGAGAAGCGACCCAAACTGTCTGGTGCTCCTTTTAGGATTGCTCGATTGATGTGCGGCGAATGTGCAACACTCGGCTCTTTGAGTCGCAATCAAAACCTGTTGCACAGGAGCCTACCCAAACATACAAACAATTTCAAAAGGGTGGCCACACCCATCGATGTTTGGGACTCTCCCCACTAAACTTCCTCCGCCTGAAGGGGTTTTCAGGAAGTGGCTTAGATGCTCGTCCCTAGCAAAGGGGTCTAAATACAACATGATTTGCGGGGCTCCTTTAAATCAAAACATCTACGGACTACATAGCACCCAGTTCAGTCCTCACCCAGTTGCCCAGTGACCCTGGCAGACAAGCAGAACCCTGTTTCAGTCTTGATCTTTTTCATTCCGTGGTGCCCATCGTTGTCCTTTTGGGAAAAAGACATGGGTCTGGTAGTTGATTGAACCACCAGGTAAACCAGGAACCGCCCTCGATTTTTCAACCAAATCAACCAAAAAAGACACCTATGGTGGTGCCAAAACCAAAAGGGAAAACCCTGGTGCCGCTGAACAACTGGGCGCTTGCAAATCGATGCGACTCACTGATCGCAGCACTGCTGCGACCACATGGAGCACGCGGTGCCCAGCATCGCCACGGAGCCTCGGACGCCAGGGGGCCTCCGAAAAAGCCCCCGCAGCGAAAACTGCCTTGGACGCGCTCGTGGAACCCAACAGGGGGAAGAACCCATCGGTGGAACGGGTCCAACAGGAAGATCAACAGGTGGAACTCACACCAATCCGCGAAGTAAAAAACAAACATCCAAGCCGTTTTCTAGATTGGCAGGCGGGGGTTTTGGAAGTATGGAGGAGACAAGTGGGTCTTTCTAGTTATGGCACCCGCATTTTGAGACATATGACATACTCCACTTGTTCCGTGATATAAGTACGAATTCACGGGCCGCACGCAAAACAATCCATGGCAGATTCCTGGAGCGCCTCCCTCGTTTGATCTTAGCGAAAGCCCGACCAGAAGGAGTCGTTGGGTGGGTTTTCCATATGCCGCCTTGCGTTCCGCGACCGCAACTGCTTGTCTAACACATGTGTTTGGGGTAAAAATACTCATCTTCTGCATGCATCGGGTGAACCCCCCAAATCTGCGGTGTTCCTCTTGGTTTCCCTTACCACCCAAAACCGGTACCATCAAAACAGGCCCGAGCGGAATTGTGCACTGCACGAATCACTCGTGTCTGCTCCAGAAGGCAGAGGCCAAACTTGGCGGCAGCAGCTTGATGAAAGCATCCTCATAGACCCAGACCGTCATACCGCCACTGTGGTTCGTCTTCGCCTGGCCGTGGATCACCACAAGCCGTGCGCCTCTGCGAGGCCAGCAAATTCTCTTGGTCAGACCGCGCCAGCCGGAAGCTGCACATCGGCGCACCTGCTTTGGACGAGTACGTCCCTATGTGGTCCGAGACGGCCCTTGGAGCTCGGGAACTACCCCCCGTTCTTGATTGAAGTTATGATGCGGTAAGGTTTGTTCTAGTATGACTTTGTGGTGGGGGAATTTGTTTCTTGCAATTTGGTGCATGAATAATCGCCATAACCATGAATACCCTGGGTTTGCGAGCATGAGAACTGGATTCCCCCCTCGTCCTTTCCAAACACCTCTCTGAGCTTTGTTGCAATTATATGACGTATGAGGACATGCTGCTGCCGCGTCGCATTTACCTTGCCAAGTGAAGGTGGCCAGCTGGTCTAAATACAAAGCCCGACCGCTTTCAACAGGCTTGCTTTTCCTCGGACGCACATCGGACCCTGAGGCTCTGAAGCTCCAGAGCTTCGCATCTTCACGTCTTCGGGGTGAAGCTCTGAGGCTCGCGTCTTCGGAGCGCGGGCTTTTCCAAAGGGCCAGCCACAAGTAGTACCCAAAAAACAATATTCGCACCAAACAATTTCGGCCACCACCTACCACCAAAACACAATCCCCCGCAGCAGATGATACCCCCCTCTCAAAACAGGGTTGGGGCCTCACAGGAGCACGTGGTTTCGGTCTCACCGGCACACGTGGACGCTCCAGCCGTTTCTGGTCTCACAGGAGCATGTGGTCGCTCAAAGTACTGTGCCTGCCACGAAATCCAGCCCCAAATCTGCGCTCTCGCAGGCTGCTTCACAAGCGTGTGCGTGCTAATTTAGCGCGCGGGCGCAGCTTCTCAAGCGTCGGAGCACGCAGCGGCTCGGGTCTCACAGGAGCACGTGAGCGCTCCAAACCACTCAAAATAGCGTGCCTGCTACGAAATAAGGCTCCAAAACCCACGCGGGACCTGGCTTCAACTGCACTCACGCAGGTCGCTTCACAAGCATGCGCGTGCTAGTTTTACGTGCGGGCGCAGCTTTTCAAGTTGGAGCACGTAGCGGCTCGGGTCTCACAGGAGCACGTGAGCACTCCAAGTCACTCAAAATAGCGCGCCTGCCACGAAATCCAGCTGCAAAACCCACACGGAACCTGGTTTCAACCGCACTCTTGCAGGTCGCTTCACAAGCATGCGCGTGCCAATGTAGCGCGCGGGCGCAGCTTTTTGAGCGTCGGCGCACGCAGCGGCTCGGGTCTCACATGATCACGTGAGAGCTCCAAGTCACTCAAAATAGTGCGCCTGCCACGAAATCCAGTTCCAGGAAGGACCTGGCTTCCTTGTAAACGAGGGGGGGTTGGAGGAGGGGGGGCGGGGGAAAAAATACATAAAACGGCATTTGTAACACTAAAACCAAATATTCAAACAGCATACAACAAAATCAGCAAAATTCACAGAAAACAAGATAAGAACCACCAAGCAACTCAAAAACCAGAACAACCCCCAACAAAATATTTAATCAAAGCATAAAACATTAAATAATTCAAACAAGCATACCAACAAAACAGCAAAAATAAAAACCATCAAAGAACACAAACTCAAAAACACACAAAATCAAAAACAAAGCAACATACCATCAAAAAATATCAGAAGAGTATCAAACAAAATAAAATACAAACAGCCAAAGCACGAAAAAATCAAAAGAGCATACCAAGTTCAAACAACGCACTTTGAAAGAGTCAGCCAAATCAAGGAAAAATAAAATATTTCAATCTTTACAAACCATAAGTACAGTATAATTATAACATATAAAATTTTACATGTTATTATTATAGTATGATTATAATTTCAGTACAGGATAATAATTTAATTGACAAATCTTTCTTCTTTCATACATCATTTTAAAAATAATATTAATATCTCTCAATGTATTTTGAATATTAAACTTTTTACTTTCAATAAATAATTTGATATTTTCTTTAACATCTTCTCCTTTCTCTTGACTATAACACAACAACCATAATATATCATAAATCATTTCATATTTTTTCTTACTGATTTTAAGAAACTGTTTAACATAATCATAAGGTGGTATTTTATTTACAGTTAGAAATATTAAAATCTCATCTTCTACATTTCTATTATGTCTTCCTTTTATTCTCAACACACATTTGATTAAAGTTTGATTATCTCTCCAATTTATACAATTTTCACGGCGCAGTTGCAGAATGTGCAGATGTCAGACTAGGATGTATCACATAAGGGTCATGTGTGATGGAATGCACCATCCCACAGCTCAAATCTAGCATCCAGCATGTCAGATTCAGCGTCCAGCATGTCAGTTTCAGCATCCAACATGCACCCAGCATGTCAGATTCAACATCCAGCATGTCAGTTTCAGCATCCAGCATGTCAGTTTCAGCATCTTAAATGTGGCTTTC